GGTGCACTCACCCACGTGTAGTGGTGCAGCGCCAAGCTGCACGGTTCCAAAGGAGACTCACTTTGCTTGTGTGACTGAGGGTGCTGCTCCAGCAGGGAGTGAAGGGGCCCCTCCACGCACCAGCGCTTCTGTGAGGGCATTTCTGTCTGCTGTGTGTCCTCCTGCTCTTTACTACGAATCTCCATGGGGAAACTGTTTTGTCAGTTATAAATGGTTCCAGAAACAAGAACTTCAGCTGGAGCTTGTACCGTGCAGCTCTGCGCAGCAATGTACTGTAATTAAGACCTGCTTGGAGTTTGTTCTGTTGTTGTTTTCTTACCCTGTGAAATAGTTTCATCAACAGTCCTTTCTTGCATGAATATTGCTTCCATCCATTTGTGTCAGCATCCCTTGCACAATTCTGCAAAATCAAATCTTGAATTTGAAGGGTTGCTCAAGTGTTGACTATGCAAAAAGTGGTCTCAACTGCTAGTGCACACAAACATTTTCCATAACTGGTGGAGAAAATGTCTTAAAATAAAAGCTGATGTTACATTTTTGACATTAACCACTGCTCCTGGCAGTAATGATTTGTGACTTGTTCTGATATGTGAAGCGTGCTTCATTTTTTAAATTCAGTGTTAAGTACTAATTGAGGTCAAAGCCAATTGATCTCATTTTGGGGGAAACAATCTAAGAATGTTCTAAGTATTTACTTTTGGGATCAGGCTCTGTGAAACAGGTCTGTGATGATCCCAAGTTCCTCACCATTCTCTGCCAGAAGTCTTTCCCATTGTGCCCTTCCTGTTCTCATGCTTTGAATTCCCCAAGCAACAGCCTGCTGCCACCTTCTGCAGCTCGCAGTCCATCAGCTTTTTTTACATTGCTGTACAGTTGGTGGCTGGGTGCTGGTTGTTATTAGCTAACATAGACCAGCAGCTACTGTGCTTACTGTTCCATTCAATACTAACTGAACTCGGGTTCTTGTTTTTATTGAATAATAATACTTGGGAGCAAGCTGTCAAGACTGGCTTGGTGTTTTGTGGGCTGCAAACCATCAGGGAGCTCAAGGGCTCAGTTGTGTGTATGAACATGTTTTAGTGCCTTGTAAGTGAAAAAGATCTCCAACTTTTCATCTTGCTGCATGCAGTTCTGACTGCCCTGGGTGCTGGTTTGTTACTGACCCGTGAAGTTAAATGTTATCTCTGTACCCCAGAAGTGGGGAGAGGGTAGAACTGTTTTGCAGGGACACGTCTTTATTGCTGTATGGGAACTGCTGAGACACGGCCTGAACCTCTGATTGATCACCTGAGGTGAGCACTGAGTCAGCCAGAGGAGCAGTGAAGGCAATTCAGCTGGGCTGCAGGAAGGGATGGAGCCTGGCTGCACCCCTCCTAGACCTATTGAAGAGCTGGCTACCAGTGGGGAGGGATCTCTTCTGGAGATCTGCTCTGCTGAAGTTTTGTAAGTGAGCCCAGGATAGGGGTAAGCTTTCTATCTATTCTCTTCTTGTTATCAGTCTGCTTTGCCAAACTCTTGTTTATTTTGTAATTATAATATCTTAATATTCATTGATTATACAATTGCACAGAGGAACAGGTTTTGCTTTAGTTACCATTTAGCCACTGCTGCACTTCATCTTTTGTTCAAGAGTTTCCACCTCAGTTAAGTCATTACAGTTACCACACTCTCACTTGACCTCTCCTAATGAAGCTACTGAACATATAAAGCCATGCCTACACAAAATGTTACAGCCAGATGAACTAAGCAGAGTTACTTAACCAGCCTTTACCTTCACAAAACCAGGAACACTTGCTGCCAGAAGGCACTCTTGTAGAGGTGCTGCCTCTGCAACCCTGCAGGAAAAACTCTTTGCCTTTTATGAAGGGAGAATAAAATTTAATTGCTAGAATTAAACACTTACCATTATTTTTCAAAGAAAACACCAGAGACTTTGTAATTTTGAAATATTTTTGTAAGGCATAAAGACCAGATTAATGCAGTATAATATTTTTTTAAATATGTTTATTTTTAAACAGGAATAAACGTGTAGGATTTTAGCATCAACTACAACTGTACAAAATCTGCAGCCATGGAGAGAGGCAGTATTATATACGTTACTGGGGTCTTGGCAGCAGCTATGGTACATGGCATTCCTCCCCCTTCTGTAACAGAAACCTGTCTGTTCTGAAAGGCTTCTCTTCACACATCTCATCACACGTAGTCTGTGTTAAAATCGTAGGCATCATCTTCACCCTCTGCCTTGTCTAAGCTGGACGGCAGTGAGCTGGCAAGTCCAGTTTCTGAGAAAAAGGAATGGTTTGTTAGTGACATGAATGCAGTACTGGAGCAGTGCGGGCTGTACTTTGTGCTGTGGGTTTTAGCACAGACCTGCCATCTCATTTTCTGAATGTGCACCTCCTGTTTGTCCTGTTCCCAGCTCAGCACTCCCCGTCAGCCGAGTCCTGCCGTCCTGCAGTGGGTTGGAGAGGTCAGACACGAGTTTGCTCAGACATCGCTAATGAAACTTCCCATGTAAATGAAACACAGAGGCTGAGGACAGTGCGGCTGTCCCAGCGCCCAGCTGCTGCCCAGGAATGTGCTGACTGACTAGGAGCAACACTGATTTCTTAATTTGCTGATTTCTCAACGGAGCACAATGCTCAGCTCTTCTTTCTAGAGGAAGCGTGGCTCTAGAGGCGGTGTGTTACCCCAGGTGGCTCTGCAGTGCTTGCATGCTGCTCGGAACAGGATGCTAACTGGCTACTTGGTGTCAGGGCCCGAGCAGGTAGAAAACAAATGAAACCCTGGTTTACCTCCTTGACATTATTCTCTTCTTTTTCTTCTTCTTCTATAATATCTTGATCATCATCAGTCTCCATGAAATCCTCTTCGTCGTGGCTTGTTTCCAAATCCTCCCACTCTGATTCTTCTTCTACCGCCTTATTTCGCACTATTTTCCCATTAGTCATGCCAGCTGATTGGAAAACAATGCTGCTTGCTGGACTGGGGTACTTTAAAGCTGAGAAATATATAGAGAGCTGTCTGTTACGTTATTGTTAGCAGGAGATACAATGCCTACCCATTAAAAGGATCACCTTCCCACATCAGGGAGAAAAAGTGAGAACAAAAAGATTGCTAGGATGAAGAACTTGGTCCTGAGTCTAAGATGTACTGAGCAGAAATACATTTTGTTGGTCTGACTAGGAAATGGGGGAGGGCAAAAGCATGAAAGGGCCCACAAGCAGTGGCTATTTAGAAAGATCAAATTAGATAAGCAGAAACCGAGAACTACTGGGGTAATCTAGCAGGGGTAATTTGCGTGAGGACAGCACCCAAGTGCACTGCTCTGCTGCCCTGGAATCCATTTCATTCTCTGAGGGTTTGTGCCTGCTGCATGCTGACACAGCCATCATACAAACCCCAGGACAACTCCCATTCGTGGTCTCCCATTACAGCTGCTCAGTGGCTCTCAGTGCTGGCAGTGCAGTACCTTGAACTGTGCTGCTGTTTTCTTCTTCCAGCTTCTTTAAATTAAAGCCCCTCTGCAGTTCAGCTATTTTGTCTTCTGTCAGATATGGCGGCATGATCTGCAGTGCTGGTGGTTCTGAGTGGTAGCTTATTTTAGCTCTGCAAAAACCACACATGGTGACTTAGCTGTTATCTTTTCAGAATAAAACCCAGAGCCCAAACCTCCCAAACTCCTCAGCTGAACCACTCTTGCAGTATTATTCGTTTACCAGCGGTTAAAGGACCGTTTAAATGGGCCTCGGAAGCTGTCAGTAACAGAACTGAAGATAGCCTGCTCTGAAGCACCTGAACCACTTCAAGTGCAATGATTCCGAATTCATTCATTCCACACTCAGCTGAACACAGGAATCACTAAAGGTTCCAAAAAAAGAAACTGTTGCAAGATTCCTTCTTGATGGAAGAGAGCACTACAGGAATTCCACGTAATTTGCTTTTACTCTCTCTCTGTGTATTTTAGTAGTTTAGAAAATTATCCTTGGGTGGTGTCCTCTCTTGGCCAAGCCAGCCTGATTGCTCAAAATCAAAAGCAGCCTCTCCTTTCTGGAAGCAGTTCTCAGGACTCAATGCTTCTGCTGCGGAGTCACAGCAGATTTAACAGTGTCAAAATCAAGGAGGTCAGCAGCACAAAACAAAATTAATAGCAGACATACCCTGTCCAGTCACAAAGCAGTGATTTAGCTACGTTCTCTATGTCGGGAACACCTCCTTTTTTCAGCATACCCCTTTTCTGAGCAAGTAAACTTAAAAGCTCTTCAGTGTTCTTGAAATCTGGGATACTGTAGAACATCATTACCTAGCGCAAAAGAAAACAGTGGGAGGAAGCAGTTATCACAGAACTGGAAGGGGATCAGGCTTATGTGAATCTATTTGAAACTAGAGTGAAATCAGAGTTGGATCTGAAGTCTTCACTGTAGTAAGAAGCATTGAAGTTATCTTCATTTTTCACTCCGTTACATCGCTGCCTGGTGATACAGGCAGTATGGTTTGTTGATGGATTTTTATTTTTTCTTTAAATCAGCAAACTCATTGGGAAAACAAAGTGGCCAACAGGATCCTGGTGCGTTGCAACCACCTTCCACATACAAGGGTGAAAGGTCACATCAGCTTTGGATACGCAAACCAAAGTGTGGTTAAGGAGAAAACAGTGCAGAACAACTGTGTGAAGTGAAATGATCTTCTGTTATCGGCCTAAGAAAGCCAGAGAGGAGTTGAACGCTGTGAAAGGATGACAGGACTTACCTGCTGCTTATTGCAGTGATTCAGGACTGCATCCACTGCTTCAATCACGTTCAGTGAGCACGATTCCCCGCTGTGTATGATACTTCTCAGGGCCAGAGTCACAGCACTGTTGGTAGCATCTGCAACTATGCTCGGGCTGTCTGAAATCTTCATGTGTTTATCAATACGCACAACTTGCATGGACCTGGTCAGAGAAACAGGCCACGTCTGAAGACAAATCAAACTAAGGACCGATAGCAGCAAAGGCAGCAAGCCACAAAGCTCAGCATTGGATTGAATGCACTTCATACAGAATCAGTTTCAGTGCTTTCTCATCACGTGCTTTGTGCTGGACAGAAATGCAAGCGCACAGTAAGAGCGAGTTTATGCACTGTAATCTCCTGTGGCAACGTGCCAGGATGAAAGATCACGTTCTGAACGACGCAAATTGAAATATGCATTTAAAACTGAACGTAGGCATGCTCTGACTGCTGCTGATGCACGGGAATTGTACACCACCAACTCAAGGTAATCAGAACTGACAGGAAAATAAACAGCTGCTAACACTCAGCTTACTTGGTGACACCTCTGGCTGGTCCAACATCACAAACACGATCTTTTTTAATGCTGTTGATTATGCTGCTCTTCCCCACGTTAGGGAAACCTGGGGGGAAAAAAAAAAAAACAACAGAAATCCTCATAAATCAGAAAACTCAGCTTCTTTAACAGCTTATCACATGTTTTTGGTAACACAGATCTTCTGTGTGAGATCAGAGTTGGATCTGAAGTCTTCATATAGAACTCAGACAAAGTCTGTATCCTCATTTCTCACATTGCAATAGAAAGACATCACTGAATGTCACACCACAAACCTCATCAGATGGGAGGAAGAGGCAGCGTAGGCTGTGCAGTATGTAACCTAAAGCTGCTTTATCAGTTAAGGCCTCATAAAACGTGCATTCCATGGGTCACAGACACTCTGCATTGAAGTACAAGATAGATCACCACCAGCTGAGGTGCTGAGTCTCAGCTGAAAGTGAGCACCCTGCCAAGAAGGCCCAGAAGCGAGTCACACATTGGGTGTTTTACTCAGGATACCAGAGCTCTGATGGGAGGAAAAGGAAACTTCTGCCATCTCTCCAAACTCTTACCTACTAACCCAACCTGAATGGCTTTGTTCTGAGTCCTGCCATACTCCTGGAGAAGTTTCATAAGGCATCCACTTCCAAAACTTTCCGTGTGTCTTGATAAATCAATACGTGCCCTTCTTCTCCGGAAAGTCTCCTGCTACAGGGTTCAAAGGAAAAGAAACAACAAAACAAACACGTTAGTCTTACATTTATTCATCTACTGTGACGCTTTAAACTCCTGTGCTTCGTTAGCTGATGTTACTGTGTCCTTCTTCTAAAGAAATGCAATTAGTTCAGTAAGAATTCGGCTAAGGTGAATCTAGAGGTTAAGTGGTGGATAAAAAAAAGTAGCACTCAAACACTTGAAGCAGCCTGAACAAACCTCCAGGGCTTGTTGTTTCAGTTCAGGCTGTGTTGCAGATAGGCTGTGTGAGCAGGAAGGAACCATGTACATTCATGGGGTGGAGTTCTTTGATCTGTACATTCACTCAATGAACTGTCCAAGAAAAATTCTCTCTTTTTTACACAACTTTAAAGCTGCTCTCTGTGTTTGGGCTTCTGTGGCATTTCACACCAGGGTCTATTTGACTACACTGTTACCAGAGTTAGGGCAGGTGGAGCAAAATGCATCAATACACGTTGTCTCAAGCCAGCATCTTCACAAAGCTGAGACTGGAACCCCAGGGAACTTAACTCCTTGATAATCTTCCACGAAATAACAGAAACTGTGGCCTTTAGTAACAGTGAAGTAAGATGAATGCCGCATACCCTGCATCAGTTCACCTACAATCCAATGTGCAACCATCCTGGATAGATAAAAAATTCCTCATCTCCCTCCCCTTGCTGTCCTGCTTAAGCAGAACAGCCCACTTTCACTCCCCAGTTCAGCATCCCACGCACAAAACAATACGTATTTCATCAGCACGTATTCCCCAACTGCACTGTGAAGCTCAACGTGTGACAGAACATCCATTAGTTGAAGTAGTATAATCAAATACAGGAAAAATGAATTTTAAAGAACAAGAGATCTGCTTCAACATGCTTCAACACATACAGTGACGTGTATGATTCAGTCATCTGAGCCAGCACGCAGAGCTCTTACCATATTCCTGTCCTTCAGCAGCGTCGCTGATTTAAAGGCAACCGTTGGAAATTCCTTCTTCAAATAATTCAACCACTTCTCCAAGTTCTCTTTTGGCACTAAATCTGAAACAAAGAGCACAGACTTCTCACTGTTGTGAATGTTGTGTTGCTGTCTGGAGAAATCTAACACGGAATCAGAAACCAGGATGGATCCTGTCCACTTTGCACATTTCTTTATGACAATTAACGCTTGGCTGAACACTCCACAGCTTCTGTATTTGCTTTTATGTACACTTCCAGTACGGTACAGCCACCCACAGCTGCAGCTTTTAGTGTTTATTCTCTGCCCCAAGCAGAACATCCCACAGTTACATTTTCAGACCCTGTGTTTTTCATGTTGGAGTATCACAAGGAGACGGCAGGTACGAGGGGTGATGTTACGTGGGCTAGTCCATCATCCCTGCAAAAGCTATGCTAAGACAAAGTTCCTGATGTTCTTTCACTCCACACTTCCTTCTTTTTGCACTGCAGTTAACCCACTAACAACCAGCTTTCCCAGCTGATCTCATCCTTTTTTGTGTGGTTTCCCTCATACAGCAACGGGAGCCAAACTTCAAAGACAACCCTTGTGCCGATTTGCTGACGCTTAACTCATCTCAGTGGGTTCAGCATCGCTACCTGCTCACTTCATCTTTGTTCACATGAATGTTACTAGATCTCCACTTTTGGCTGACACTGGCCAGAAGTCATTGTAAAAGCAAGGGGCCAATGTGCAGCTACCTGTCGTGGTGTTTTCTCAGCAGAGGGAACATGGCCACTTCCCTAAGGCAGTGAGCTCAGAGTTGGATCTTATGACTTCAGCAGAATCTGAGATTTCTTTATGTATTTCTTCACAGCTCACTTAAAACAGAACCACCCAGTGACTACAGTAACACTTCAAGAAAATCTGTTTCTTACCGATTTTGTTCAGAACCAACAACAGCTTTTTGTCTCCTCCAGAGCAAGTAATGGCTTGCTCCAGCTGGGGACACCGGCAGCCCATCGGATCTCTCGCATCTAAAACCTCCAGAACCACATCTGAGGTTTCAATGACCTACGTAAGGGGGGAAAAAAAAGATTATAGAAAGAGAGCTTTCAAATAAGAGATGGCAAGCAATTTGACAGATGGTAACTCTGTAATAGCCAAGCTGTAGCCTACAACAGTGACTACTGAATCTTACAGAACGTTTGGTAGGTGAGGTTTCTTAAGGCTGTTTGTTTCAACTCTTATCTTTTGAAAGGCAAATTGACAGAAAAAGGTGAAAATTGCTGCAGCTTTCTGAAGTCAAGAAATTCCTGGACAGGAATATGTCATAACTCAAAGAGCTCTCTGACTGGTCGCTATGTACTGACATTGGTCCTAGAAGTCTTCAGAACGCTCAATATCTCAGTAGCCAACACCGGGCAAGACTGAAACCCTCATGGTTTCTAGAGTAATATCACTTACTTCAGTGCTGGTTTATCACGAGCAACTTTTACACTTCCTAGTCGTTGGGAATCAACTTTTTACTTGGATAGACAGTGATAGGACAAGGGGGAATGGTTTTAAGCTCAAGGAGGGAAGGTTTGGATTGGATGGCAGGGTGAAGTTCTTCACAGAGAGAGTGGTGAGGTGCTGGGACAGCTGCCCTGAGAGGCTGTGGATGCCCCGTCCATCCCTGGAGGTGTTCAAGGCCAGGTTGGATGGGGCAGTCTGGTCTGGTATTAGAAAGGGAGGTTGGTGGCCCTGCCTGGAGCAGGCAGTTGGAACTTGATGATCTTTAGGGTCACTTCCAACCCAAGCCATTCTATGATTTTAAGTTGTTTCATTGCCTACCTATCATCAAATTACATAAAATCATAAGAAGTTGAAGCTTCTTACTTTCTCAAGCTCACTGTGAAATGATTTCTTTGCATTTTTATCCAGCGCCTTCTTCGTCTTCTTTGCTTCAGACTTGCCAGAGGATTCCTGCATGCAAATAAAGCAGAAAAGAAATGATTTAACTGAGAATTACTCTATTATATTTGTGCACACAGTCTGAAGACTGCTGTGTTGTCTGAACACAACACGGGACTTGTAGAGGTGTAATTTTAGGATGACATCTTTGCCTCCACAAGCTTCATGTGACAACAATCACACTGGACACCAACCTTTCCCTCAGTTTGTTCCTGGATCGCAGCCGCACTCCTCTTGGCATCGAGCTTCCTTCTCTTCTCGAGTTCTTTCTGCCTGTCAAGCTTCTGCTTCCGCTTCAGTTCTTCGAGCTGATCGCAAACAAGCAAGAGCCAACAGAGATAAAACGCATGTGAGGGAGAGACAGGATGTCACCCTTCTGCCCACATGTACTGATTTGTGCAAAGGGATACTGGTGCAGCTCAGTTACACACGTACATGACTACACATGCATCAACGCACACACGCATACATGCATGCACACACATGCACAGACATGCATGCATGCAGATGCACGTACACACACATGCACATACTTTTGCACTCACACATGCGTACACACACACACGCATGCACACCTACACCCACATGTACACACAGACACACGTGCACATACTCGCACACACATGTACACACACGCACATGTACACACAGACACACGTGGACGCACACACGTACACAAGTGCACGTACACTTGCACACACACGCGCACAGACACAGGCGCTGCCGCCGCCGTTACCCGCTGCTTCCTCAGCTCGGCCTCCCTCAGCAGAGCCTCCTTGAACGGCGCCGCTCCGGGCACGCCGGGGTCCTTGCGTGGCTTCTTGCGGCCGCGTTTCTTCGCCTCCCTCCGCACCTTGCGGTGATGCTCCCGGATCTGAGCGCACACACGGGATTGTCGGCAGAGCCCGAGCGGCACCGCGCGGCTTCGCGCACCGCCGCGCCCCCCGGCCCGGCCTCACCTTCTTCTGGATCTTGTACCGCTTGTGGCACGTCAGCCGCTTACTCGCCTTCCTCAGCTCTACAAAGCAAAGCAAAGCAGAGTAGCGCCCGTAAGCCTCGCTCGGCCGCCTCCCACACCATCCCCCCCAGCCACCCGTTCCCGCGCTCCTCACTCGGTCGCTTCATGGCGCCGCGCACGCGGAGCCGCCCGCCCGCCCCTTCCTCCCGCCGGCGGGCGCTGCCGTAAAGCGAGGCGGCACTTCCTCGCGGAGGTGTCGCGCGGGCCGGGCGCGCTTGGCGGCCGGGCGGGCTTGGTGGCGGCGCGGAGCGGCGGCGCGGGGCGGAAGGCCGCGGCGGGCGCCGAGGGGCGGCGAGGAGCGGCACGGAGAGGCGGCGGCGGCGGGGTGAGCGGCGCTGTGGGCCGGGCGGCGGAGCGGGGCTGGGAGGCCGCGGGTTCCCTTTGTGTGGAGGCGGCGGCGCGGGGCGGGCCGGCGGGCCGCTCTTCCCCACCCCCACCCCTGCCGGCGGCCCGCTCCGCTGCTCTCCGTCCCGCTCCGCGGAGCGAGGCCCGCCGTGCCGGGACCCGGCCGCGCTCGCGGGGTTCGGCGCCGTCCGGGAGGAGCGGCCTTCGGAGCGGCCCGACCCGCGCTGCAGGAGGCGCTTCTCCCCGCTGAACGGCCCGCAGCCCGAGCGCCGCAGGAGGAACCCGCTTCCCCGGGTTCGGTTCCGAGCAGAAGTTGCGTGAGCTCAATGAAGGCCGTCGCACTGCCGTCGAGCCGTGCGTTGTACGCAAAGGGGGGAAATCGGAGCTGGAGAGCGCTTGTAAATGGAAGCAGATTCGTCCGTAAAGAAGCTGTGTGGCCGGGCGCACTGCGCTCCTTCCTGGCGGATAGCAGCCGTTTGCTCGGCAGACGGACGCAATTCTTGCCCGCCAGAGGCTGACCCGCGTTCTGGCCGCGTTCTGGCCGTGCCGATCGCTGCACCGTTGCCGTGCTGCTCTGCATCCACCTTATCTGCTCTGTAGCACAGACTCTCAGATCAGATGTGCGGTGGTTCGTTGCTGTGCAGGTGGCTGGGAAACCAGCACCGCTTGTTGAGAAACGTCAGAGAAACTGTGACAGAAATGCCTCGTGTTCTGCATGCGGAGCTGCTTTCTGGACTTTCTGCTAAGGTTAAAAAGCAAAAGTTGCCTCCTGTTTGTTGCTTTCTGTCTGCCAACTTGAATTCTTCCATTTATTCTTTGACTTGGATAACCTATCTGCTGTCAGCTCTCTCCTCTCTCTTTCCTTGTTCTTGTCTTTCAGCTCTGGCTGTACTAACAGCACTGCTGACCTGTTGCTCTGGGTGTCCCCTTCTCCTAGTATCTGTGCTTGCCCACCAGACACTATGAGGAGACTGGCTTTTCGAGGTGCTGGTTGTACTCTGGTAAATCTGGTAAATTATTGATTGTATGTACACCATGCTCTCCGTTCTTCTGCATTAAGGCCTTCCCTTACTGTTAATTATTCCTACCTCGTTCTTATTCATCTAATTTGCATGCTCAACATTTTGTTGCTAACATAAATGCTCTCGTGCAGTTATGTTGTACTGGCATACCTTGTAACTTTCTAGGAGATCCCTTGATTCGGTACAGGCTGGGATAGATGAATCTGTGCTGTCCTTTGAGTTAGCTACAAATGGAGATGGTGTTACGATGCTGTCATTAGAAACCAGGGAAGAGCCAGCGACTTGGTCCATAAATCCCCATAGTCGTTGGACAGTTGTTATCCATTTGTCATTGTTAAGTTGATAAATTAGAAACTGTGACTGAAACAAGAGTGGATTTTTCTGCTTCTTGATGATTGTGCCGTTCGTCTTACGCACACAGTGGGAATTGTGGTCACACGAGGACCCAGCCCTTTTCTGGCTTGAATCTTACACAAGGTATTCAGTAGCAGTTCATGTTTTAGTTGGTCATTTGTCTTCTCTGTGGCATCCTTTTTATTTTGTGTTGGTTTTATAATTCGAGACAGAATGAACTACTTTTCTCCATACAGCTCTTTCCTATAAAATAGCAGTTCTCACGTTGTGATCATTCATAGCTCGAGGAACCAAAACGTGAATGGTTTCAGAATGTGTCCTGGTAAAAGTTGCTGATACATCTTTGTACCTGTAAGCCCTTGGTTTCTGACGTTGGTGTTGGTAGTGGCAGTGTAAACCTGCAGGGCCGTTTTGCCTTCCCTGTACTCCCAGCTCACGTCTGGTGTGGATGTAAGAAACACGTGTGACCCGTTGCATAACATAGCTCACTTAATAGCTCTCTCTCGTCAGAGGATTTGGTTGCAATGCCAAGAGTTTAAGAACATTTCTCTTCATTATAGAAGAAGTTGGATTCCATGGGTTCCAAGAGGCGAAGAGCAACCTCGCCGTCCAGCAGTGTGAGCGGAGGGGACTTCGATGATGGCCACCACTCCACGAATATCCCAGGCCCCAGCAGGAAGAGAAGGAGGCTTTCAAATCTCCCGACTGTGGATCCTGTTAGTACCTTCTTGTTGTGCACTCCTTTCTTTCTCTTGGGTTTACTGTATTCTTGTCTAAGAAATGCTGGACTGTGGGATGGTAGTGCCCCTTACAGCATATGCTCTTGGCTTCCTGCGTATTTGACAATCGTATTTGGCACGTATACACTGAGTTTATTGTGTCCTGAAACTGTTGCTGCCTTGGCTAAGCTGTGTTTAGGATCTCATTCACTTTTGGTTTGCTCTCCTTGTTTTTGTTTTTTCCCTTTCCATTTTCCTTTTTGCTGCTGTTTTTTTTTTGATGATGGTTTTAGCAGATGGAAAGAGACTGGGCAGAGAGAGGGCTGAAGTAATAAAGTGCAGAAATTGAGAGTTGCATCTGAATAGCAAATGCTGGGAGAGATAAGTGGAGAACAGCTCTTCAATACGTGCTGAAGCATACGATGTCATTGTTATGCCTTGAGTTAGCAGTCTGATTTTAAATAATCGCAGGGCAAAAGGACCTCTGTCATGGTTTTAAATGTCTGTAACAAAGAGAGTTGTACTGAATTAGCCTGCATTTGGAATGTTCTACCTAGGATTAGTACTGAAAGAAAGTTCACTCTGTTAAATCAGACAATACAAAACAAAAACCAAACAGGCAACCCTAACGTTCTGCAGTACTGACCTGCTAGATCATACTAATGCAGGACATGCAGTGTTCTTCACTCTCTTGCTTTGGAGTGCACCGTACGTGAGCAGTTTGCCTTCCCCTTCTTGTTGTAAGCAGGTCTTGATTTGTTATCTCCTTAAAATTGACTTGCTTTTTATTGTGTTGTTCTTGAATTTTAGATTGCTGTATGCCATGAACTTTACAACACCATCAGAGATTACAAAGATGAACAGGGCAGGCTCCTTTGTGAGCTTTTCATTAGGGCACCGAAACGAAGGTAAGGCGATGGTTCTTGTCAAGCCTTGGACTTTAAGGAATGCTTCACCATTAAAGAAAGTTGAAATATGGAAAAAAAAAACAAATCAGCTATGCTCATCACTGTGTCACAGCAGCGTATGATGATGTGAGTGAGTGTTGTAATTATTCAGTGGGACCTGCTGATGTTGGTACTTGTTTTCAGTAAAGGGAAAAAAAGAAAAGCAACCTTGAATGTATTTGAGATATTTCTTGTGACACCTGTCTAAAACATCTGACCTGAAGATGTTCCTCTCCAGTGGTGGAGTGTAATGCTGAGGGTGTGCGTTGGGAGGATGATAAACTCTTCAAATGACTCTTGAAAATATAAGTAGAGACTGAATGTACCTTAAACTCAGAAAACAGAGAATGATAATGGAGCAGGTATTACAGTAAGTTTACTAACAGAACGCTGTCCAGATCTTTTACCTGGAACAGTCTTTGTTTCATTTTGTTGTCTCTGTGTCTAAACTTTCTGCTTGAAATACAATGCCTGCCTTTGTCATTACCACAGAAATCAACCAGACTATTATGAAGTGGTTTCACAGCCTATTGATTTAATGAAAATCCAACAGAAGCTGAAGATGGAGGAATATGATGATGTGAATGTGCTGACTGCTGATTTTCAGCTTCTCTTTAACAATGCAAAGGCTTACTACAAGGTGAGGAAAATAGGTACAAAGGCTTGAATTTATCAATGATGAAAGCGATGGAGATATATTGAGGTTCTTATTTGGTTTGGCAGAAAGCTTTCTGGCTTTGCCTTTGATGCTAGTAAGAGCAGCATGAACTTACTGCAGGTGTTTGTGTGTTTTCCCATAATGTTGACCATATCTTTGTGAGATGTCTTGCTGTAGTAGCTTTTTTGTGGGGATGCCATAAAATAACATGGAGAGGGTTTTTTTTTCATTTTCCAAGAGAGAGAGAAAGCAAAAAAACCCAACAACAACAGAGAAAAAGACTGATCTATTAAAACCTTCCCATTTTATGAGATGTCCCGTGTGACCTTTTGAAAAGAAACACACTTTTTTCTCCCTAAAGGAGGAGTTTGTTTTGGAGTTTTGCAGTATGATTGCTGACTTTTTCTCTTCCACTGTCCAGTTACTAAAGTGAAAAAAGGCACACTGATTACTCTGGTTTCTGATGGTAGATTGTGAGTGTATGTGATGTGTTTCACTGAGGCTGCAAGCCACGTCTCCATTCCTCCAAACCCAACATGTGTTTTATTTTAGGTATTAATGGATTCTATTGCAGTTGCCTTAAGAAAGGGGGAAAGAAAACTGGAATGATCTCATTTAATGGAAGCATTTTACGTACTAAAAAAGGGACACTGTGTGTTGTGGCTGAGATAGCAAACCTAAAACTTCAGTGCTGATATTAGCTTTGATAAATCTTGGTCTTTGGAAGTTGTCCACATAATTGCTTTGTAATTCAGGCAGGCACTGTAGTCGGGTGACACTCAGGTAAATGGTGCCTGTGTTTGTTTGTGTGTGTTTGTGGCTTTCTGAGGAACAACCAGGTTTAAGGATTAACATCTTTCTACGTTGTGGTTACAGTAGAAAAAGCACAGAGACCTGCATATTCATGGTGTGCTTTAGCAGACACATTCCCCTTAGTGTGGTGGGTTTTTTGGTTTGTTTTGTGTTTTATATGAGGAATAAGGAATGGATGTCAGGAAACAATTACTAGCATTTTCCCAAACGTCAGATGCCTTTGCCTGCACAATATTCAGCTCAGATCTGTGCCCGTATTGTAGCAATCCTGCATGCAGCATAGGAAGCAGATAGCTATCTTACTAGAATGCAGGAATTTTGTCATTACCAGAGAAATACAGAGTCATTAGATGAAGGTATGACATACAAACGTAACTTCATCTTTTTTCATCTTTTACCTTTATTCACATAGTTTAAATTAATTTGATGCAAGGAAGGCTGATTCATTGGCGAGGTGTTTGTGTCAGTAGGTGCTTTATTGGGAGTGTCAGACTGAAATGGAAGCCTTTGCTTGTGTAGTGTTTCTGTTCAAGTAATACTTCTGAGCGTCTTGCTCAGTAATGAGGAAAGGAGCAGACTAGCAGAGCAGGGTATCCCTTATTCTGTCTCACAATCAGCGCCTGGTCTGATGTCTTGAGAATATTATGTCTGGTAGGGTAAGCGTAAGAACAGTTATTGTGTTGGTTTCTCATCTCTGTTTCAAGCTGTCAGAAGCTGAGAGAGTGAAGAAGAGTGTAATCCACAGAAGTAAGACAACGTTTCTGCCCAAGTTCCTGGAATAGTGGTGATGGCAGGGGAAAGGGGAGGAAAAGCACAAAAGAGTGGGAAAGCAGTCCTTTCTTTCTGGCAATTTGCTTTAGGCAGTAATAGGCTGATGGTTGATTGCTGCTCTGTATTTGAAATATTTTTGCTGACTAATGCATTTCTCAAGTTCTTTGGGATTTCACAGTTATTACTGAACAGTGCAAATCATTGCAGTGCTTACTGAGATATGTGTGCGTTCGTTGGTGTTCTTCTTTGGTAGAATTGAGTTTTCAAGTGTTGTGCAAAGGCAGCAGTGTTGGCTTAAATTACATTTCTGGCATAATGGCATTTATTATGTTTTAAATATTGGCACTGATGTGCTGCAGCAGAGCCTAGAGATCTCCTGAGATTCATCTCGTACTTGTCTGTGCCTCTGCCCAAAGCAGTTTTATTGCCAAGTTTTCAAGAAGGCTGGAATGCTTTGCAGTGACAGAAGTGATATTTTCTAGTTCTTATTACCATTCTTAACACCTCTAAACAACCTCTCAAGCAGGAATTTCTGATGTTTTGTGTTGCTCAATAAGTTTAATACAATTCAGAGACTAATTTATTAGCTCTTTCTAGATGAGAGAATTGTGAATTTTGAGGGTGCTGATGCTGTTTGATTTGTGTGGTTGTTTCTTTCAGCCCGATTCTCCTGAATATAAAGCTGCTTGCAAGTTATGGGAGTTGTATTTGCGCACAAAAAATGAATTTGTTCAAAAAGGAGATGCTGAAGAGGAGGATGAAGATGAGGAAGGACATGACAGTCAAGAACTAGTAAGTGCAGGCGTGACAGCTGCAGCTGGAGGAAGCTATTGCTCTGTGTGGCAGCTGACTGAGCTGAAGCTTGGCCTCCACGTGTGGAACGGCATCAAGTCTTTTCATTGTTCAGTTATGCCTCTACAGGTGTTTCCTTGCAGGTTTTGCTTTTGTTTTTAATGTATGTTTATTAGCTGCCAGTTAATTATTTCACAGCACTGTGTACATGTTCTGCTTCTGTCTAGGAAAAAAAGTTCTGGCATTTCTCTTAGGGACAAAATGCAGTTCTGGGTCAGCTGTGTTCTCGATAGTCTAATGTCTAATGACATTGTTTTCCTGTGTGCATCTTATACAATTACTGCAACACTTCCTGGAGCAGTTTTTTAATGCAGATATGACAATAGGAAGCTTGGCTTTGTCTCTTTTTTTTCTTTTTTTAAGACGTTGGGATGCATGATTGCATTAAGGTTGGCAATCAAGTTTCTTCTGACAGGATGTAATGTATACGTGAGTCTTTAGTGTAAATGTGAAATCAGACTCTCATGTGCTTTACCTGAATGTGTAAAGAATGTTGTTTTTCAAGGCTGCATGCATAGTTGATTTTTTTTTTTTTCCTGTCTTTGAAAAATAAATGTGTGTATTTCAGTGCAGTTTGAAGCACTCTATTTGGCTGTTGTTGAAACCTCATTTCATTGGTGCAATTTCTCATGTTAGTCATCTCCAGGTTATCTGAAGGAGATTCTTGAACAGCTTCTGGAAGCTGTAGCTGTTGCCACGAATCCATCAGGACGCCTGATAAGTGAACTGTTCCAGAAGCTACCTTCTAAAGTGGTGGGTGTTTCAATAATAATCATCCTGAATTTGGGATGTGGAAATTTGTATCACTGCCCCTGAGCACTGTAATGCACAGACTGAGGATGCAGTTTTTTGTTACTGTCTCATCTGTCTTATCTGTCTCCAGCAGTTTTTAGAGCTGCTTTGCTCCTACCCGCTCATTCCCAGGCCTATCATTGCAGGCTGGGGCTTGCTCTGTTCTGCAACTTTAGTTTACTTGGTTGGTTTTGGTTTGTTTTTCGTGGTTGAGACTTCTTAATCTTTTTCTGTTTGTTTGTTTTTAATCTGGCTGACTTTACTGTTCTGTTTCAGGTTGTGGTATAACAGGTTTAACCAGCAAAAGAAGTACTTTGAAAACCATTTTGTGTATTTTGTTTTCAGCCAGAACTGTTTCTTTATGGCAGTTTATGGATGAGACATAATTGTATGTATCTGCCTTATCATCTGTCTCTCCAAACTGATGCCTGATACTGTAATTATGAAGCTTATGCTATTCTTCATCTACAGTTAATCTTTACTAAGAACTCATAGAATGGTTTAGAAGAGCTTTGTGACTGTTCATGATAACATGTCAATTGTTTTTGTTTTCCAGCAATATCCAGATTATTATGCAATAATAAAGGAGCCCATAGATCTTAAAACTATTGCCCAAAGGATTCAGGTACAATACAAACTTATTAATACACTACAGTTTAGACTTGATTAAAAACAAACATTCTAAAATTGCTGAAGTTAATAAGAAAAGCAGAGTATTTCTGCCCACTACTGAAAACTCGAAATGCAGTAGTTATTTAGTGTTGTGTCCTGGTTTAACACTGCAGTGGTAGCTGTGTTGAAGATCTGGCATCGTAAACCAGAGTATGCTGGCATTGAACCTGAGTATCTTGGGTTCCCTGATGTTTAATGGTTTAAAGTAATTCCTTGGCAAATCTTACAAACATCAAACATTGATCTGTTGAAGCTTGGTTGTGCATTAGCATCATCTGCTTCTGTTCTACTGCTGTAAATAGAGATTTTGTACTGCTTCATTTTTCATCTTGCTTTTCCAGCAATCTGAAATGCTGTTCAGTAATTCTATTATTTATTCTACTCTATTTTGTGTAATAGTGAAGGACAGCACAAGGTCTAATTGAACTAGAGAATAAGCTGAAATCACATCTTGTCAGACCCTTCAACATTAAGCTAGTATTGCAATAGTATTAAACTTTTTCCAATCTTAGCATTTTAAAGATCAAGAAGACCTTAGTGCTCTTATTTTTTTTCTTAAGTACTCTTCTTCTTTTCTAAAACTGTTCTCTCTAGTCTGTGTTCTCTTTATCCGTTATGAATTCCCTTTGCTTTTGACTTTCCATGCTGTCTGAAGGTTGCCACAAAGCAGTTCTGTTTTACTCTGTTGCAGAATGGAACTTATAAAAGCATTCATGCAATGGCCAAGGATATAGATCTTCTCGCAAAGAATGCCAAAACCTACAACGAGCCTGGATCCCAAGTGTTCAAGGTTAGTTTCAGTCACTCACAGTTAGATCAAAGTTAGGTGTTTCCTTACTGTTTTCTGTGCTGTTGGTCTTTGAACAAATCCTTGGTGTAAGGCCCTAAAAACTGTTTCCATAATAAATAAATCTCTTGTTGGAATTTCCTTATATAATACTATGTATGTAATATATATATGATTTAAATAGTTGTAATATCTTTTTATCTTGAATTACGAGTTTTTCCAATTAAATTTTATATCAAGATGTGAATTACATGACTTGTTTGGAAGTATGGGGGATCCTTTTGTTTGTGCTTGAAATGGGAATGGCTGGCACTGCAGATTAAAACGTTAGTGGCAATGCTCAGCTATCATCCCATTACAGGTGTTGGGAACAGACTGCACTTTTCATCATAAGCTTGAAAAGTGGAGCAGTGCCTTCTTTGTGTGGTTTTCCAAGGTTCTTTTCCTTTTGGCTGTGTTTTTATGACGCCTCCAATCTTGGTTAGTTTTCAGTTCACCAGCATTTTGTGTGCAAGTTATGATATTACTGTTTCCATGTACTTCTGAAAATAAGGGAATTTCAGTGACAAATAACTGCTTGTATGTTCCTATGAGCTTCGTGGTAGGAGACCTTGCAATGTCTGTGACTTGTGTCAGTGGTTCTTGGACTTTTCCAGTTGCTCTGCTTTCAGGATTGTGACTTCAGTTACCCAGGCTTGCAACCTCGTTCAAATCTTGTGATCTTTGCTTTTTGAACTGTTACTTCAAGTATCAACTCTGTTGCTGAGAGAGAGGGAGAAGGAACATCCTAAAGCTCAGCAATAGCCGTAGCTGAATAATTTCAAAGGCACGGAAACTCATCTGCTTGTGTGATATTCCTGTTTTTTTTTTTAATTTTTTTAATTTTTTTAATTTTTTTTTAAACATGTGAGAGAAAATGAGCTCAAGCTACTCAGCTTTTATGTTTCTACAGCCACTGTATGGCTACTGCATGGAGATTTTGTTCTGTACTTCAATACTTAGTCATTAATCATTTAGTCATCAATCATTTAAGCATTTAGAAACGTTTAAAACAAAAATGAACAACATAAAAAGCCTAACCAAAACCCATTTTTGTTCCTGATCCTTGGATGGTTCTACCTGAAAATAACATTCTTTGTTTTCAACCATAAACAAGCACATTCTTTTCATTGACAGGATGCAAATGCAATTAAAAAAATATTTAATATGAAAAAGGCTGAAATTGAGCACAGCGAGCTGGCCAAGTCAAGTCTCCGACTCAGGTACCACAAATACAGTTCTGTTTCTAAGGCTGTGAAAATCTCTGTAGTTGTTCCCTTAATTTTGCTGTGGGGAATATCCTGGGAAATAATTGCATGAACATTTATTGTTCTTCTGTGGTTTATAACCTTTGGAAAGAGGTGGTTTCTTTTTTTTGTTTGTTTCTTTTTTCCTACTCAAATGCATCCATGATGAGTATTTCTGTACATGTTTCATGGCTCTCTTAAGCTCTGGCCAACTGCTTCCATGTGTGTTTGTAAGGTAAGAACAGAGGAGAAGCAGCGAGGGAAAAAGTTGCGTTGTTTTGCTTTGCTGTGTCAAAAGTACTGAGTAGTGTTGCACCTTGTAAGGAGCTGAGAGCTCACAGTTATCTAGGCAGGGGCAGAAATGCAGCAACAAGGCCCGAGGCAACAGATATGTAGAACAGAGGCCATGTTATATGAACTCTTATTTGAAAACCTATTTCTGGCTATGAAAAGAGGCACAAGACACTGAAGATCTGGACTTAAAATCAGAGAGGGATAGTTTTGGTATTTAGGCAGGCAGGTATGAAATGCTTTTGACAGCTGTATTTGTTTCACAGAAAGAGCTTAATCAGGAAATACTGCTACCTGAAAAGAAGGTGCTACCTACAAAGAAGTAAAGCAGTCGTAACATGTGTCTCTGATCTAAACTGCAATTGAATTTATTCTTCTCTATATTTTTACTTTTGAGTCACAAGTCAAAAGTAAGCTTAAATATTATTTTTCAGTATGAGCTGTGTCATATATATAAAAAACAAACCACTGTCTTGCAGGTCCTCCAGGGAGTCAGCAAACTCATTCTAGGATGGACCAAGTATTTATATAAGTAGTTTGCTGGCACGCCATGCTGAAAAATAAATGCTGTTCATTCCTTGCAAAGGTCTGTGCTGTACAGCTGAGAACCCCAGCACCCTCTGTTGACTGAGAGGCAGATTCTGTACTGGTGGTTATGTTTTGTTTCTCCCCTGAAAAATATTTAGAAGGTGTTAGCCACAGACTTTACTTTTAATACTGTTATGTCTGAAAGAAATGAAAGTTACCTGCTTGGATATTACTGTTCAGTGCTCAATTACGTTGTGGTTTTTCTGATTCAGTCACGCAGAGTTAGCATGCTTCCCATACTTGGGTGAGGTGTCAGCCAGAGCGGTGAGCAAAACACCTCGTGTAAAGGAACGGACAAAAGCAGAAGCATTAAGGAGTAATTCTTGATGCATATTGTAATCATTTTCCTGCAAGTACGTGTGGTGCCAGGAGATCTTGGTTCTACAGACACATCGTTTCCATGTGTGTTAGCTTGGATGGAACAGGAATTACATATAGGCCCAGAAACTTTTAATATAAGTTGTGATTTTATTTCTTTATTTTGCTACGTTGGGCTGCGTTGATGAAGCTCAGGGTGTTGTGGGTGCCCCGTTTGTGGAGGTGTTTTTGTTTCCATCAAGGCCAGCTTGGATGGGGCCCTGGGCAGCTCCATCTGATGCCCGACCGAGTGGCTGGCAGCCCTGCCCGTGGTGGGGCTTGGAGCTAGCTGGTCTTTGGGCTCTCTTCTGCCCTGAGCCGTTTGTGGTTCTATGATTCTTTATATCACAAGTTGTATTTAATCTGGAGTCTTATTTTTTTTTCTTCAAACTTAAGCTGTTTGCATCAAAAGGGATGACAGATAAATCACACTGATATTTGTTAGTTGAATTCCTCTCTTGCACTGCCAACCCATTTCTACTCCTAAGGTTCCTGATTCTTTACGTTCTCGTGTATTCTGCTCTCTATGGATCTGCAAGGCTTGAAGTAATCTGAATGTCTCATTAATTGACTGCTCCCTTTCTTTGTCTCTGTAACTTGGCCAAAAGTATTGGTAGTGCCTGAAACAGGCTACAGTAATGGTGAACTGCCCTTTATAGCAGGGGATGTGGGGTGCTTTTGTCTTTCTTAAAACTATTCTATTTATTTGTTATTCTTTTGTTGTTTTTTTTTTTTAATTTATTTTTATTTTTTAGTGCAAAAGAATTGGGTGAGAGAAAGGTGTAGTCCAAACCAAACCTCCCACCTGCTGTTCTGAAGTATTTCACTGCCTGGTGGTTTTCTTTTTGCCTCGTTTTGTTTTTAATTGAACCATGTTTTTTTTTTTTTTGTATTCTGCTGAATCTACATCACAGAATCATTCATTTTTTCCTGATTTGATTGTCTCAACAGACAGTCTCTTTTACCTATTGCTGATTTTGGTAGAATACCCCCATAAGTTCCTTCAATTTTTTTTTTCTTCTGAATTTATGTCACTTTCTCTTTGGTGGATCAGGCTCAGACTCCTTCTCATGCCACTAACTTGTGTCAAATAACTGTGCTCTCCCAGCAGAGAGTCCTGCATGTCTGCTGTCACACTAATTGCTCTTTCTCGGTGCATTTAGCTGTCCTCCCTTCAGTCAAGTGACAAAATAAAACTCCTTGACTGTGCACACTGTGACTTCTATGAAGTACTGATCAAACATGATTTGGTATGGGTAGCTTTATGTTGGTGCTGAGGAGTGTCTTGTTGGCTGCTCACGTGTTGTTGTAGGCTGAGCTGTGTGTATAGCTGTTAATCCTCAATCTAAATGTGACCTTCTGGCTTTTTATAAACAAAATCAGTATCAGAATGCTGGGGCACTAAATGTATCTTGGTGTTGCTTTACTTTTAGCTTTAAAATGGTTTTTTTTGCCTGTCTCTGAAGCTTTTGTCTGACCTATCGAAGTAACTCTGTACAGAGCTGTAGCCTTGCTGCATCTTGTCTTGGGTCTAAGGTGGGCCTCTTTTTTCCCCCTTTCCTTGGCTTGTCTCTCCTGCATTAAGGACGCCATCAAATTTGACTGCTTCCAAGCTGACAGGTCCTTCCTCACAGGGTAAAGGCAGTGTGGGTGATGAGAGAAATTCTTCTAACAAATATTTTCGGTAAGTAAATTTTGGACTTGGAGGAAAAGCTGGGTCATCGTCACGTCGAAATGCTGACTTGAAAAATAAAAAATACATATGCACTTTTTTTTTTAAGTTGGCACTGTTCTTTAATTTCCAGTATTGACTCGAATATTCTTGAAATTTCAAATATATTTCCTTCCTATGAAGTAAGTTTAAGAAGGTACTTTACTGTAAGTACAGTTCTGTGTTTGATTTTTATATTTCATGTTTCAAACACTTGCTATTAAATACTCGCTGTGCAGCTGTTTCCTTAGAAATATTCTGAAGATTGATGTGCTAGACTTCATTACAAAGTAAAGTGTGTGAAAACTCATAAGGAAATTAACTGTAAGTCTAGGAAAATGATATTGGAAACTGAAAGAAATAAGTAGGAATAAATATTTAAGAGATGGAAGATAGAAACCGACAAAACCTGGGTTGTGGCAGCTCCTACTATCAGTACGAGCTGGGGGAGATGTAAGGATGGAGCACAGCTCTGCTGAAAAGGACCTGGGGTGCTGTTGGATGGCAGCTGGACGTGAGCCGGCGCTGTGCCCTCACAGCCCAGAAAGCCAACCGTATCTTGGGCTGCATCCAAAGCAGCACAGCCAGCAGGGCAGGGAGCTGATCCTGCCCCTCTGTGCTGGGACACCTCACCTGGAGTGCTGTGTCCAGATGGGGAGTCCTCAGTACGGGAGAGATGTGGGCAAATGACCCAAGGGATGGAGCACCTCCCTGCGAGGACAGGCTGAGAGCTGGGGCTGTGCAGGTGGAGAAGAGAAGGCTGTGGGGAGAGCTGAGAGCGGCCATTCGGTACCCAAAGGGGCTGCAAGAAAGAGGGGGACAGACTCTTTAGCAGGGTCTGTTGTGACAGGACAAGGGGAAATGGTTTCAAATTAAAAGAGAGGAGTTTTACAGAATCACAGAATCACCAAGGTTGGAAAAGACTCACAGGACCACCCAGTCCAGCCATCCACCCATCAGCAATAGCACTCAGTAAACCATGTCCCTCAACACAAAATCCAAATGTTCCTTGAACACCTCCAGGTCAGTGACTCCACCACCTCCCTGGGCAGCCCACTCCACTGCCTGACCACTCTTTCAGAAAAGTAGCATTTCCTAACGTCCAGCCTAAATCTCCCCTCGCACTGTTTGAAGCCATTCCCTCTGGTCCTGTCACCAGTTACACAAGAGAAGAGGCCGACCCTCAGCTCACTGCAGCCTCCCTTCAGGTAGTTATAAAGAGCAATAATGTCTCTCCTGAGCCTCCTCTTCTTCAGACTGAACAATCCCAACTCCTCTTTAGATTGGATATAAATAAGATTCTTTTTAAAGATGGTGAGGCAGTGGCACAGCTGCCCTGAGAGGTGGTGGGTGTCCCATCCCTGCAGACAGCCAAGGTCAGGCTGGAGGGGCTGTGAGCACCTGGTGGAGCTGTGGTGTCCCTGCAGTGCAGAGAGTTGGATCAGATGACCTGCAGTGGCCCCTTCCATCTCAAAAGATTCTATGATAGTGTGAAATCCTGCAAGCCATTAATACTGAGTTGCTGATGTGCTTATGGCAGACTTACTAGGCAGACTGGTTTACTGCAGGCTGTCTAGTTTGTTCTTCATTCATCACTTGAGATGTTTGGTATGTAGCAGAGGCTTTATGCCAGCAGGCTTAGCTACTGTCTGGAAGCAGCCAGTCTTCTCTGTGTAGGCCTTGAAACTGTGTCCTAATGCCCAGCAGCAGCACGGCTCTTTCAGGTATTGAATGCTTGTATGGAGTCAGTGTCATTGTAAGCAATGCGTGAGATGCTGTGCCCCAGATTTGGGAGAAAAGGCAGAAAGATTGATGCTGAAGATGATGTGAGACCAGTTAAGAGCTCCTTCACTTACAACCACTCCGCATGCTGAACGAGTGCAGGCAGGGCTGGAGGAAAGGGAGACAACCTGTAACGTGCTAAATTTCTTAATGTAGACCAATCCCTATAAAACAGGATTAAATAAGAGATTTGTTTATATAATTTTGGGATAATTGGGAAGCCTTATTCCCATAAGTGCCAATTAGTAACACAAATACTTAAGTATTTGAAGTAGGACAGAAGATACAAAGCTTGAGCTCTGACATTTGGACTGCACGGCCAGTTTCTGGTTAGAGGGCCAGCCTGTTAAAATGAAGGCTGTCTCAAGGGATGTTAGCAGCTTGGTGAGCTCTATGGTTCTTTCTCTGTAGCCATCTCTGTTTTCCTGATAAGCAGCTGTCATGAGCTTCACTGGTTTACTGGTTCACTCAGGATGGCTGTTAATGGTGACTTAATAAGAAGAACTTTTTGTTATTTTTTATTTCTGAAATCTTTTTTTTTTCTTCCCTCTTTTTACAGTAACAAAAGATCAGCCCAGGGGGATCGTTTATCAGCAATAACCATGGCATTGCAGTATGGATCAGAAAGTGATGAGGATGCTGCTTTGGCTGGTAGGAGCTGATATGCAATTTATCTGTTTATTTTCTTTAATTAAAGATATCTTCAAATGTCACTCTATTGCAGAATTATATTTACTGTTTCAAAATTGAGCATATAATTCTGTTAAGTCCAGTCACTGTTTCATCTTAGTACTGAGTTATAAATGTGCAGCTGCTAAGAGATAGGCTCAACTGGCCAAACTGATCCTCCCTCCCAAAGGCTTTGGGAAACTGTTGCATGTTTTTGTTCCTTCTGATGTGGAACAGACAAGGAGATGTTGAAAACAGTGTTACGTGTTCTGTGGGTTAAGAGATATGGCAGTTGTCCTAGAGAAACTTCATGCTGGTTTGTCCTTTCTTGTGCCGGTGGCTCTCCTAAGAGCCTGTCAGGTTTTATTTTTTAAGGTTAAGACTATTTATATGGGATATAAGGAAAGCTAAATAATAGAACTTAATTTGCAAATATCTTGTGTAATCTGGCAGTAATGTGATCTTGCGTGAGGGCTCATGTTCAAACAAAAGTACATAAAAAGGCATGCCTTGAGACAGCACCTTTAGTTTCATAAGCATGCTATAGCATTGTATTATAAACATCTGCTATAACATGCACATTATATCATATATTTCAGTATTGGCCAATGTTACTGTAGTCTGTCTTATAAGTTAGTGTTTCTCAATAGTTGCATTCTCCGTAATTTCCTTACATTATCTCAGAGCAGATATCTGATTATTAATATTTTTGTTACCTTTTTTTTAACATAGGGTGTGTTTTATTTCATGTTAGAATTGTATCTGTGTTCCTGGTTAGCCTAGGCTCCAGTTCTGGCACCCCTCTTTGGGAGAGGTGGAGAGTATTCATTCCTGTGGCTCAGTGTGCTTGTCAGTTGCAGGCCTTCCGCACCTCAGTGCTGTAGGAGCATACAGCTTTCTGCTTCTTCAGGATTTAAATGCTTCAAGTGGTTTAATTGCTTTCAGATGTCATGTCTGCCATGGACACGGATGTCATTTGCGCAGGGCCTTGTGTGTGTCTAAGATTTTTGCCTTAGTACTGCTGAAGTTATCCTATTGCATTCATCAACAGGGCAGTTTTTTGGCAGATATCTGTCACTGTTTCTCAGTCTTTCCAGCATACTCTTTGGACATCCCTATGTTTTCATTTTCATTTTTAGAGTGAACAAGATTTTCCTTAAAAGCAAGCAGTCTTTTTATTGGTTGCTCTGGTATCTGTCTTTCCCCTAACACTTACTGAAACAAATGGGGGTTGGACATAAAGAGCGTAGAGAACTTTCTCCTTGATACAGAGAGCTCAGTCTTTGTGAGCATCTCTGAGTGCAGCAGTTGCCTAAGCAACTGTTTCCAACTTGGAGTTTGTCCTCACAGTTTCAGAGTGTGTCGTGGTGTGATGGAGCTTGTGGAAGATTTCTAGCTCAAACGTACTGAGACATGAGCAGCTTTTGCAGCTCCATTACAAGTTATCCTCACTATAAACGTAAAAAGGCATAAGGTTTATGCCTTTAGGACTGGTTGCAGCTTTTGATTTTACTAGCATCTATCTTGTTAGGCTTCAAGCGTTCGTGTTGTCTCAGTGCATGACATCGATAAAAGCAAGTTACTTAATGAGTAAAGACTATTTTTTTGTATATATTCCTGTGCTTTCCTCACTCTGCTTCTTTCCTCTGTCAGCACTAAGGGCACACAACTAATATAGTTACTGCCTGAAATTTTTGTTCTGTTTTCTTTCCTCTGTACCTGCTAACTGTTCCTCTCTAATGTGTTCTTATGGGACCTATTGCTTCTGGATGTTCAAGAGCCTGTGGTCTTGCATTATGTGCTTGGTTGTGTAGCCAAATAAGGATTTTTGTCTTTTGAGTAATACATCTTCAGTCGTCAAGATGCGTTAGTGCTTCCTGCTGGGAGGACATTATCATTTTCTGAATACCTCAGGATATATAGTGATTGCCATGTCTTTGAAAGAGCATACACATTGTAATAAAAATATGTATAGGTTCATTCAGGTGTTATGTACACATTCTCCTCTGAGTGCTTGTTTAATTTATTTAGATTTCATTTTGGGGAATGCCTGCAAAAGAAGGACCTGTCTTGACCAGAGTATTGAACTGCTTCTTTGCTGGCTACCATGTCACAGAATATTAAAGTCCTTCTTTCTTGTGTTTTTTTTTTCCTCTTCTTAGAAGCAGCTCTCCTTTTTCCCTTGTGTTCATTTTTGGTGGAGCAGTGAGAGCTGCAGTGTTGAGCAAACAAAAGCAAAGCCTACTTCCGTTGCATAATTAGTCTGGAAACTTGTTGTACCTGGTAGCATTTTCTTTGCTGCAAGGATTTCTCTCCATGGTCAGGCTGATAGATGAGGTTCAGGGAAAACAAAGCACTGTTTCCAGTCTCTTTTTCCTGCTGAAGTTACTCTGTCCAGCTCCTGCTTACAGGCTACCGCAGTGGATGCTGTGCAATTATTTGATGCTGATTGGCATTCGGACACATGATAATTTTAGGTATCTCCTCTGAGTCAGTAATGAACATCTCTGTCATGTTTGTGCATCTACTGAGGTCTGCTTGTGTTTTAGCTTGCATCTGTCTTGGCTAGCAGGTCTGCATAGACGTGCAATGTCAGGCTGCAGAGGATAGATGCTAACACTGTGCTGTGTGCAGCCAGAATGCCCTCTGGCTTTGTCATCAGTTCAATATATCTTTACTGAAATTGAGTAGAAAGCCTGAAACATTGCCAGCCACTACTGAGCAATAATGAAAATGCCTGCTGGAAACTTGGCATGAGCATTAGAGAGCTGTCTTTTGTGCAGCTGAATTATCCAGCGTGTCATCCACCAAGCTTCCATCTAAACTGGAATTTGTAAGAGGGGAAGTTAAGGAATGAATAGCTGTGTGTGTTTCCTGGTTTTGTCAGCAGTGGATGTTACTTCATCACAGTATCCTTTTTGTTTGTTCTAATCCTGAAACTTACTGTTTGCTTCATCAAGTTAGCTGGCAAAGTCTCTATAAAATTGATAAATACTTTTTATAATTAGCAGAAATAGTTCATAATAATCATTCTAAAATGTGTACTTCTTCATTTTCTGCATATTAAAGGTGACCTTCAGTGTCAGTCTTGTCAGTTCAAGTTCAGTTTTCTTAATTGGGCTGTGAATGTTAGAGTTGAAAGGATAACAGAAGTTTTGAAGTCACTTCTTTTCGCATGCATACAAAAAACATCGTGTTTAGTTCAGCCATTTTCCCTGTCTGAGCACCTTTGCAAATTTGAGGTGTGGTTTGTCAATTCATGTTCTTGTAGTGTACTCCAGTTGGGCAGCAGCATGACTGTAGCTCAGTGCACAAATATATTTGGCACAAATATTGACATCAGTGTTTAAATGGGTAAATAAGGATGTTCTATAGCTGTCCTATTAATAGCATGTGATTGAGTGGTCCTGGTGTGTACTCTCCTGTATACATACTTCTCAGTGCTTCTGTATGCAGGGTGTGTTACCAATGACTGAGCTGAGTCTCATGTGCTAAGAGAGCTTGCTATCTAGCTATGTGTTGTGGTGGTTTTTGTTTTCTGTTTTCCCATCAGCTTGAGGCACATGAGGTACAGCCATTTGTGGTGTCCTTTTCTGAGATGTGAATCTGACTGCCAGAGTGGCTGAATGCCCTCAGCTGAAGGACTCTTTTGTTCTTGTTTAGTTCTTTCTCTATTTGAAAAGTCAAACAACAAAATCCACTTGACTTGTTCGCTGAGAGTCTCCCATTTTTCCTTTCTCTCTGTGCAGCTGCTGCTCGTTATGAAGGAGAGTCTGAAGCTGAGAGTATTACTTCCTTCATGGACACTTCTAATCCTCTCTATCAGCTTTATGATACAGTTAGAAGTTGCCGAAATAATCAGGGCCAGCTAATATCTGAACCCTTTTTCCAGTTGCCCTCCAAGAAAAAGTATCCTGATTATTACCAGCAAATTAAAACACCTATTTCATTGCAGCAGATCAGGTAAGAAAACAGAATGCAAACTACGTCTGATGGGAAAATATTTAAGGGTTTCTTCTGTTTCCAAAGTCCTATATTGTGGTCAGGTTGCTGATGCAACGTGTACCATCTTTCCTTCGTGCTTTGATTGGTGCTTGTTTCACGTCAGCCTGCATCAGTCTTCTGGTCATCTTTTATAAATGGCTGCCGTCCACGGGTTTATTTTACATGGTGTTTCATTTGTGCTGTGCCATATCAATAATAATGAAGGATTGGTAGCCAGCAGAGGTGAAAGTTTCTGCAGAGCCCTATGTTATGCCCTTTCCTTGACCCCAGTGGCTTGCTTACCTCTTACTGCCATGGTTTGTACATTAATAGTCTTCAGCAAAGCAAATTGTCTATGTCACAGTCCAACTGTGGAGAATATTTTCATTAATGATCTAGCTAGTCTGGAATGCAGTACTCATGCAACACACCATTCCTAAATCTATGAGCCGTTGAAGCTCATCAGCTCTCAGAGCACAGTTACTGGGTAAAAACCAGGTTTAAAAGAAGAACAGCGAGCATCGTCTTCCTTGAGTGGTGTGAGAGAAGCTATTATGGTGGAGCTAGTATGGTTGGATATATGTCAAGGTGCTGAGTGCATGAGAAGTGTTAGTGGCCCAGAATAGTGGCCCAAGCCTCCTGCCCTGGGACCCAGGAGCCCTGTTACAGCTCAGCCCTGGGGCTCCAGTCATTGCCCTGGGGCTCCAGTCATTGCCCTGGGCTGTGTGGTAGCAGTGTGTGCTCCAGCACACCACAGCCTGGCCATGCACTCACACTGATCCCCCTACTTATTGAGACTCTGTCCTGCAGGCTGATGTCCCAGAATGAAATTGGGCCTGCTGTGTCCCTGTGCACAGGCCCTGCCTGCCTGATGGCTGCTGGCTGTCTGACCCTGGCTGCCATCCCTGGACAGGACACTGACCTGCCAGCCTGGCTTCTTGACTTGCCTAGTCACCAAAATTCAGCCTGGTTTCTAGGTTGAACCTGCTTGCTCGTGGCTGGCAAGGTCTCTGCCCTGCTAACCACCTTCGTGTGCTTGGTTCCCCTTCCATGGAACAGCCAGCCTACTCTGTTGTCATGGGATAAAGGTTTGGGAAGCAAGTAGAAAAATCCCACACTGGTTAGCTATCCGTCAATGGCTTTAAAGCAGTTATTTCTTTATGTCTTAGTACAGCTGTTGACTTGACAAAGAAGGCATTTTTTGTTGAAGGAACCACCCAGCACATTTTTTTGGGAAAAAAGATGAAATTGAGAACATCATTGATAGGGAGCATTTAATCTGAGTGTATAGAAGGGCACTGGTTCTAATTATGTATATATGGATTTAACTGGGAGAAATGTTGCTTTGAAAATGTGCTTAGTACATGATAATTTGCCTTAGGAAGGCAGCTGCTTTTCTGTTTCCCTTACAGAGTAGTCAGGTTACCCTTGGCTGCTGGAGCAGTCCAAAGATGGCATGCAAATATATGAAGAAATTCAGAAGAAGATGATATTTCTCATTACCTGAGAGCTTGGAAAATAAAGCACAGTTTTTTTAGAAATAGTGTGTGTACACATTTATAATATTTATAATATGAAGTATTTATAATTGTCTAAGTAGCTTTAGCAAATTCTGAAATTCAGTTATTTGTTAAATACCACGTAGCGTTCTCCTTTATTATGCCTAAAAGCCCTGAAGTCATACATATGTGTACTTAATTGTTGTGCATTAGGGAAAACTGGAACGAGCATGGTTTTGTTCGCATTTCTAGGGAATGGAAGGGTTTTTTGGGTTTTGCTTTGGGTTTGTTTGTTTTTTTTTGGGGGGGGGGAGGGGACAACAGATGATTACTGTTGGTTTGCGTGTTTGAAGATGCAGATTCAAGGTGTGCACCTGATGGTCCTAGATGGGGACAGGAAGGTGATGGGTCTAGAGGGGGACAAGATGGGGACAATTAACAGAAGGTTAATTGTTGTAGTGACAAAGTAAGGGTGTTAGTGTACAGCCTGGCATCCCAGTCTCCTAGTGATTGCTGCATTGGCACCTGGATATTTGGGCTATGCTGCCAGAGTGCACTGTGAAATGGGTGGCTGAGTGTCTACTGCCATAGGAGCTTTTGCAGCTAATCATGTATTTCAGGAGTCTGTGTGTGTTAAATGCAGGAAAATGCACACTAAATGATTTATCATCTCTAGCATATCACAGCTCTGGGTGTATTTGGTTTAACGAGCAGATAACAGCTATCCCAGCGTCTTGATCACTCACTGAGCACTGTGATCCTTGGTGGCATGAGCTGGGCGCTGCTCTCAGGCTGTTCTGGCTGCAGGAAATGATCCTTCCATGGCTGCAGTGTCCTCCTTGTTTCCTCCTGCCCTGCTCTGTACAGAAGCCAGGGTTGGAATGGAGCCACCTACCACCCACCTCACTGTGCACATTGCCCATTCTCTACGGCCAACCTGGGTAACCGTGGCAGCATTTGGCAACCATCATAGATTCAGGAAAGGAGTCTTGTGTTCAGATGGAATTCCCTCTTTTTTGTGCCCTTGTTCTGACAGTGAACATGGATGAGACAGGTTTGGCTCACTCTTCATTCCCTCCCATGGGGTGTTTGTCTTCACTGGTGTGATACTCCCTGCCTCAGCTTGAATAGAGCAAGGTGCAGGGCTGCAGAGTCTTTAAACAGACTTTGACTTTAAGATATGTTAGAATTCTGCAGTATGGAGGTTATTTAGCACTGTTAAAAGTAATTCAGTAATTCACTGCCCAGAGAAGTAGTCAGGAATTAACGCAGGAACGCACCAAACTTACTGTTACATGGAATGCAGGTGTCAGATACTGACATGCTTACCAGAACTGTGTTTCTCCTTAAATTTTACAGCATCAGTAAATATGATCCTGAAGGCAAGTTCATGAGGCTTTATTCCACTGGGGGTTTCTCTAACAGCTGTTCTCTCCTGTCTGCATGTGAGAGATGAGTGCCTTCATAGGCATGCCCCTTTGTCTTCTGCTCCAGGAAGCTGGGGAAGGACTTTTTATGTGGGCATGTAGCAGCAGGATGAGGGGAAATGGCTTTAAACTGGAAGAGGATAAGTGTAGATGAGATATTAGGAAGAAATCTTTACTGTGAGGGTGGTGAGACATTGGAACAAGTTGGCCGGCGAGTTGGGGGTGCCGCCTCCCTGGAAGCTCTCCAGGCCAGTCCAGATGGAGCTGTGAGCAACTTGGGCTATGGGAGGTGTTCCTGCCTACAGCAGGAGGTTGGAACTGCGTGATCTTAGAGGTCCCTTCCATCCCATACCACCCTATGATTCTGTGGTCTAATGGAAAGCAGTTTGTTCTGCGTGACATCTGCTACTTAAGAACCTTGTGAGCTTTTCTTAGGAACCTTCATCCAACTTTATGTGTCATAGGAATATGAACTTTGTTTCACTGGGTTGAAATTCTCCTGGAGCTTGAATTTGTTTGGCTCTTGTTACTTCTAGATTTAATATTCAAGTTGAAAATAGAATAAACATATTTGTCTGATCAGTGGGACTTAACCTTGAAGGGGCAGAGGCTGCTCTCTGGGTTAAATTGAATGTTTTATGGAACTAATAGCTGAAAGTAACACTTAGGTTAAGGTTTTATTATAACTTTTGGAAAAATAATATATCACCGAATTGCAGTTTGCTTAATTTATGCATGTGCCAACTGGGAAAATATTCTGAAGACAGAATTCTTCTCTTTAGTATTTAAAATCCCTTGCAAGTTTTCCTTCCGTCTGCCACTGTGGCGGCATAATGCCAGCACGCAGCTCAGCTCCACCGTGCTGCAGTCCCACTGCTGCTCCATAATGCAGTGGAAGGAGGAGATGTGATGGAAAATGCTCCTGGATTGATGTAAGGCCAGGGATGTTCCTTGCTGGTTGCCTTGTGGGCTGGGCTGACCCAGAACTGGGAGATTAATTTAGTTTATTGCCTGTTACCATCAGACCACTGCAGTGAGAAAAAAAAAGCAAACTGAAAAAAGCTTTCCTTGTCTTCCCTTGTCCCTTTTTAAGGAAAGGAAACTGTTGCTAGTAGGATACATACCCTAAGAAATGCTGCTGCCTTGTTCTGCCTGCAGCTTACTTTCATCTTTTTTGATGCGGGCGTAGAGCAGTTTGTGTTGTGGGCAGAACAACTCCAAACAAAGAGAAGTGGTGCTAAGGGAAAGTGAGGAGAAGCAATCTGAATTGAAAAAGTGGTACTTCTGTTGAGAGGTGGCCTTCTGTGTTTCTTGTTCAGGAGCTGGCCTTATACCTCATACCAGAGTTCAGACTTGTGATTCTGTAATTGTTTCCTTATATTAATTGGGAGACTAGCAATTTCTCTAGTTCTTTCTGCCACTGAGTCCCTCTAAACTTTAGTTTTCTGGAAGAAGGAAACACGGTGAGGATGCTGACAAACTGCATGCTGCTGATACTGAAGCAGAAATTGAGCAGAGGTGGAAGGCAGGCATGATGTGTGCAGGCTGGCCTGCTTTCAGGGGATGAACCAAGAGCAGATCTTGTAATATAAAAAGGCTTAGTAATAGCTGATTGCTGGAGCATGGCTGCTTTTCCTGTAATGGTTGTCTGTAGCAGTGAAAAGTATTGAGGTATTTTAGACATGAAGTATTTAATATGCAAAGCTAAGGCAGCTGAGGTGGTCTTCACATTGTTAGATGCCTAATTAGAGCCCAGTTCTGCGAGTTTGTCAGTGTGAGTGATCACTTCCATCTGAGATCCCCTGGAAACAGGCAGTGCAGCTGCTACCTGTGTCCCAAGGAGAGGAACTCTGGTGGCATTTCTTTCCTGTGAACTCATTTCTGCACAGGACATGCTTTTCTCAATTTTTGTAGCATTTGTTTCCTAAGTACTCTAGATGATGCTTGCTCGTTTTCCATTCAAAGAGGCAGAATTGTGTTTATTTGGACATCATTTTAGTTGCTCATTAATCCTTGGGAAGTTTAAATGATTTATGAACACTTATACTAGCACCAGTAAAGGAGGAAATTGCTGGAAACTGCTATTCACATGTGACAGATTGGAGTGTTGTTAAATCACTCTATTTTGAAATAAATAAGAGCATACAATGTTTGTGATAAAATTGGGATTATTGGTGAGAGTTTCTGATGCAAGTTTTCTTTTAAGTATTTCTGTTCTGTGTTTTCTTGAGTGCTGTCTTACCGAAGTTTTATCTTTTGCAGTATGGACAAGCCTCGTGTGCTGCAGTCCTGCGGTGGCTTCTCAGTGTTCCTTTTGGACTGCAGAGCCTCCCTGTGTGCTTTGCTCCCTAGATTTTGCTTTCCATACCAGCCAGCAGTCAGGCTGGCTGGAGGAGATGAGGCATGACCTGTACAGTTTGTTAGTGGACGATGGCGAGAGCATGAAGCAGTATTTATGTCCTGAGTATTTATGAGTATGTGCATCATAAGCCAGGGGCTTTGGGGACAGAAATACTGAATTTCACGTTTTGGGTTTTTGTTTTTTTTTAAATATTAGTCATTTTTAATACTGTAACATACTTGTTACCATAGGCAGATAGCTTTTGTTGGAGTTTTACATTGTACAAATGGAGATGGATTCTGCTTCGTGACAGTTTCATTGGTACAAAAATTCCTTTTCCCCCTTTTTCCCCTTTTATTTATTTTAATTCTTGCCGCTCTGCAATGAAGGCTATCTTGGTAACTGTCCATTTTTGGAATGGCAGTGAGTGATGCTGACAGGAGAACCTTTCTGTGTGATTCTATTACGCGTGACTTCAGTTGGAAATACCAAAAATAAGCTAGAAAATAATACACAAACGTTAACAAGACACCAATGTCTTAGAATCTTAGCAGTATGTAGGGACCCAGGATGGTGTGTTATAGGTGAGGATAACAAGTAATTTTCTCCACATCTTAAATCTAGGATGTTTGTGCAAAGCTTTTTATTGTTTTCTCATAGCCACTGAGAGCTCTCTAGTTCTTCAGCTGTGAGATGGCGCTTACTGTTCAGTAGGGCACACGCAGCTGGAACCCAGGAAATTAGCAGTTGGTTGGATGTTACCAGCAGAAGGATTCTACAGTGCTGTTGTGGTAGAAATCCGTGAGCACTTCTCAGCAGTTCTGTAGTTGGAAGAGAACATGGGGGGGATTATTTTTGGTTTGTTTTGCTTGTTTTTTGCTTTGTGTTACTATTTTCTGTTGCGTTCTCTTGTGTTCAAAACGTGTGAAATGCTTGTTTGTGTTGTTGGCCCTTCCAGCTTTCTCCAGAAGCGTATTTCAGCAGGTGAGGCACCAGTCAACAAACAGCCATCTTTGGGGGAACGCAGAAAGAAGTGTTTATCTAGTGTTGTTACAATGGCAAGGTGATATTGTGGCATTGGAAGAAGATAACAAGAGCTGTCTGGATATGGATTTCTCACAAAAATGAAGCTGTTGAAGTATGATTTGGTGCTGTGTGTGGGAAGTAATCTGTAATTTTCTTCTTTTGCAGAGCTAAACTGAAGAACCACGAGTATGAAACATTAGATCAGTTGGAGGCTGACCTGAACTTAATGTTTGAAAATGCCAAGCGTTACAATGTCCCCAATTCTGCCATCTATAAGAGAGTTCTGAAAATGCAGCAGGTTATGCAGGTACCTGCAGTAGAACAATCAAAAGCATGTAACTTTTCATATGAATTTATTTCCCTAAGTAATATTTTCCAAACCAATTTCTAACAAGACTCATGTTTGCAGTAGTGTTTGCAGTAGTGTTTTTATTGGCTGTGATTGGCTTGTTGATCATGTGTTCCATAGTGTCCTATAATGTCTAAATAGTAGTCTGAAAATTGCTTCCAAAAGTAGTTGATTAGGAGGTGATGTGTGGGAATGAAGAGCAGCATGGAGTGATTCCTCCAGTGTAACTGTTACCTTGGTCTCTTGGTCACTCTTGTTCCTTATCACAGCTTCTAACCTGATAAAGTTGTGAGGAAAACTGAAAAAAATGCTGTTTGTATTTCTCTCTTTCCCCTTTTTTATTTCAGTTTACAGTTAAATACAGGGAGGTGGAGGATGCTGAAGATTTCACTAGATGATCCAGCTACGTGCTGTAATCTGAAATGGCTTTGATTTCAAATTGTTCCCCTAAGAACTTCAGTGACCATTTTGTGTCTGCAAACTCACATGAAATAGATAAATGAAATATTTTGATGGTGCATCTGCCTTTATGTGCAGAAAACACATAGCTGCATTTTATCTTGTGCATCTGATCTGGTCTTCAATATTGTTCTGAACGTGTCCAGCAATGACTTCAGCTGTTTGTCCTTTCTTCAGGCAAAGAAGAAGGAGCTTGCTCGGAGAGATGACATTGAGGATGGGGACAGTATGATTTCTTCTGCTACATCTGATACTGGAAGCTCCAAAAGGAAAAGGTGTGTGCTTCTGTAGTCTCCTGTAGACTTTAACATTGCTATTTTGTTTATTTATTATTTTCTTTGCTTATTCTTAGAGAACACTAGGCTGTGTTCTAGCATTTGTGTAGTGATTGAATAGCTCTGAAACTTAATCTCATTAATTGCTCTAGTTAGTTAAAAACTGTTTGCTGACATTAGTTTCCTTTTGGGCTAGTTAGTAGATGTCAACAGAACTGTAATAAGTGGGCACTGGAAGCACTGATGTCTCTTTGCATACGTTTTCCTTCTTCCATTCTCTAAACCATTTGGGAAAATCTTGGCAGAAATGTTTGGACTGTTTCTCTGCCTCTCCTTATCTTTTGAAGGAAATTCTGACTTTCAATAACATGATTGCAAGTGTAGCAACTATGTGTGAAACTGCAGTTCAACATCCCTCTTAGATGTTCAGCCTCCCCTATTTTTAGTTCTTCCTAACGTCAAAATGACAGCAGTTATGGGGGGAGGAAGGGAATGAATAGAGTAAAGATCTACTTAAGAGCAATCAAGTAAGTGCATCGCTTACACAGAAGAAAAATCTGCATGGGGAAAACATTAGCATGGATTTAGGAGGTGGTGCAACCCAGAGATGTGAGCAAAAAATAAAAGAAACAGAAAGGTAAGGCAAACCACCACATCAAATGAAGATCAAGAAGGAAAAAATTGCAAAAATTGTCACTGTTGTGATCTTCAGTATCTAATGAACCAAGTCAAATTGTCATCAGTATTCTTGAAATTCAGTGCTTTGATCCTGTGCAAGAGAATACTGAAATGCTTAAAAGAGATTATCTGTCAGACCTTGTCATCTAAGAGGGGTAAAAGAAGGAAAAAGTCTTCATAGGTAAGGGAGGTAATTGTATGTATTTTATGTCTAACCTAAAGTGCTTTTGATGCTGTCAGTTCAGCATTTGCTATCACATTGACTTGCTGAGAGGTAGCAAGTAAAAGAAGACTGTGAAAGCTGATGGTAACAGAGGTGCAGCATGGAGGAATTGCAAGACATTGAAAGAAAATGTTAATGCACCAGGCAAAATGTGTCCTGTTGGGAAAGTAAGAGTGTTTTCTACTGATGGCGTTGTTTGAATTTCCCCTTTTACTTGTCAGATGTAAGGGCTGTCTAAACAAGGCTTTTGATGGTTCTATTTTGTTTTTGCATCACCCACTTTTGTTAGACTAAATGGTAAATTTTGGAAGCATGTTAAAGTGTGGATGGAATTCAAGGGCCGTGTAACTGTTCTGGTATCGTTCATCTGCTGCTGTGAACCATTAATTAACAGCATCCAACAGTGAAGGTAGAAAGGGAGAGGGGAGTTCTTTATATAGGCAATCCATTTTGATTTTTCTGACATGTTGGAACATTAATTTTGTTAGTTATTTGCAGGCAGTATCAGAGGCACAAAGCCATACAAGATTAGGTGTATTTCAGATGAATATCTTTGAGAAGGAGCCAGGTGATGGAAAAACTATGATGCAGTTTGGCTTGTTTTACAGTGATGTTTTATACATTCTGCAAATGTAGATGGTTTTTTTGTTGATGTCTATAGAAATAGTTGAAGTTACGTCTACCTGAATAGGTGTTTCGTAGAGATTGCAATTTGAAAGATGGTTCAAAAATGCTTTGAGGAGAATGCGTTTCTAAATGTGCTATGGTATCAGAGTTTAATAGTAACACAAGCTTTCTTCTTCCATCCGATTTGTTACAGACCCTGTAGTGTATGTACAGGGAGCCATGCAGGACTTGATTTATCTATTTTTCCTTCTAATAATCTTCATCCTGGTTATGCTGTCAGATTTCATCACCCAATCTTTACAGCACACATAGGATGGCTGTGGAATTTGTGGTGTTAGTATGGAGGTGTGACCACTTTTCAGGGTGGGTGTTGCAGTACTGGTAAGGTTGACTTGTGGCTCTGAGTGTGGTTGATGTGTTTTGGTAATTCAGGCCATCTTCCTCCTATGTTCTCAATATCCTTGCTATCTGTTACTGCAAAAGGTGCTGAAATACACATAGATTAATGTCTCACATCTTTGATGTTCTGTTTTCAGCAGAGGTGGTCAGGAAGGCAGTGATTGCTGTATTTTTTGAGTTCTTGGATTCACGTGTTCGCTCCTGACTGATCTGTTCTCCCTGCAGCTGGAAAGTGCTTAGAACTCCATCTGATCTTTTGTATTTTTATTTTTTAAAGCGAGTGATTTGTTTTATTCTGTAGAATGTTTCAAAACAAGGTGGAAATGGGGGGAAATAACATCCTAAAGATGGTTTCCTGTTTATTTAGCAGAGTACTGATAGTGGTGCTGTCGTTATTTGCAAATCCATTTGGAAATCCAGCACGGACTTGCATTTCTACTACTCTGTCTTAAAGTTGTGCTTGTTTTCTTATTTTAGAGAATAATGTCGTTTTGATAGGAGTGCTGGAAGAGCCTTCAGCATTTATTCTTTCCCTTTTTATTCTTCTCCATGACCTAACAGTAAAAAGAACATGCGAAAGCAACGAATGAAGATCTTGTACAACGCAGTTCTGGAAGCTCGAGAGTCGGGCACAGGCAGACGGCTCTGCGACCTGTTTATGGTTAAGCCATCCAAAAAGGACTATCCAGATTACTATAAAATTATCTTAGAGCCAATGGACTTGAAAATGATAGAACACAACATCCGTAATGATAAGTATGTAGGGGAAGAAGCCATGATTGACGACATGAAGCTCATGTTCCGAAATGCAAGGCATTATAATGAGGAAGGCTCCCAGGTACTGTTTTGATTCTGCAGTCACACTTAACCTTATTTGCAGATACATAGTTGGATTTTTTTAGCTTTGACTATTAGCTCCAGTATTTATGGTAATTGTTTACTTAGATAGAACGGAAATGTGACTTTCTTTCTCCTTGAGTTTTCAATTCTGATTTGCTATGTAATTGTATAAATATGAAGAGAAGCATGCTCCCTTAATTATTTAACTATGAAGATTGCACTTCCTGTTCACTTGGCTTATTGCTTCACTACAAAGAACTGTCAGCTGAGTATCTCCTGTATGTTAATAATAACTCTGAGCTGTTTATTGAATTTTCATTATTTATCACAGTAAGGTATTTGCACTGTGGAGGGTCACCAGCACTTGTTCAGGAGCTCAGAACCTCTGAAAAGGCATCTGTTAGTCGAAAGAAAAACAACGTCATTATCATGGAAGTAGAGAATGTGGAAGATCAGACTAGAGGAATGGACTTGTTAGCATAGCAGAAGTAATCTGAGATGAATATGCTTTTCACTTATGAATATATCTTAATGGACAGCTAAAAGAGGGATATAAGGTGATGTTGGACAGAAAGGGGCATAGATGGTCATGAGAATGCTTGGGAGCTAAAAGTGTTTTTCTAGGTGAGCAAGCTTGATGTTGCAGAACAGGGTGACAGTAAGAAAACTCTGGTTATGCTAATGAAAAACATGATCAGATGACATACAGAAACAGTTGCCTGCGCTGGACTTGGATTTGGAGACCCAGGAGGGCTGTTGTAGGCATTTCTTCTGTAATGGAGCTGCGTTAGTTGGAGAGATAGTTGTTGAACAGAATGATTTGATAGGGAAGTTGATAAGGCAACCTTGTTTTCTAATCTGGAAAAGAAAGTTTAATTGGCTAATTTATCAAACTTTTATATCTCACTGATTTATGCTTATCAATTCTGCTTACCTTTATATATGTGCTGAGTGTGTATAATTGAGAAATAATGCCTTCTTTTCAACCACATAGTTGATTTTGCCTTCATTTTTTTCAAAATAGCATCTAAATGTCTCAAGAGGACTAGTACTAAACTTGTCCTTAAGGTCTGGATTTGGCTAAATCTCAGCACCCTGAGACAGCAGGAATTACTGCCATAAAGTTAATCACCTTATGCTAGAGTGCATCAGGAAAGTTCTTCGTACTGTGTGAGGCAAACACAGTAAACCTGCTTTTGTGTTTGTTTTGTTTTTGATGACTGATCAATAGGTATACAATGATGCCCATATGCTGGAAAAGATCCTCAAAGAAAAAAGGAAAGAACTGGGACCACTGCCTGAAGATGATGATGTTGCATCCCCTAAACTAAAGCTAAGTAAGACAATGTTATCAATTGCTGTGCTTCCACTGAACACTTGCCCAATCCAGGAATACAGACTGGCAGACTCATCCTTTTGAAATGGGAGATGTTGTCTGCGTTTTTACACTGTCAGGCAAAGCATGATTTTATTTTCAAAATGATGATGCCAGCTGTGGTTTTTATACATGCATGTTAGTTTTTATATGTGCTGTTGCATATTGCAATTTCTAAGAAAAGTAACAGAATGAAGGAGGAAAAGTTTAGAGCTGCTGGATTGATGTGGCATGTGGCGTATTATCCAAATGTTAGATGCTACACTGTGTACTCAGAAACACCTCTGTAATGTGTGCTTACAAGTAAGATGCTTCACAAACTGAGTCAACCATAGTTTCCCTGGTCAGATATCTGGGATTTCCACAGAATGATGAAGGAATTTGACATCTAATTGGAGAATATTGAAAACACAGAAGCAAAGTTTGTGACAGTGTCCATTCTTGGGGCTGTTGCCCGTAAAAACTAATTTGCTACTACTCACATCTGCTTAGAAGTTAGCTGAGAAGATTTACATTGCACAGGAAGATTTAAAGGGAGTAACCGTGAGCAGTTGCAGAATCACAGAATGGCCAGGGTTGGAAGGGACATCAAGGATCATGAAGCTCCAACCCCCTGCCACAGGCAGGGCCACCAACCTCCCCATTTCATAGCAGCCCAGGCTGCTTAGGGCCTCATTCAGCCTGGCCTTGAACACCTCCAGGGAGGAGGCATCCACAGCCTCTCTGGGCAGCTGTTCCAGCACCTCACCACTCTCATAGGAAAGAACTTCCCCCTGACATCCAACCTAAGTCCTTCTTGGGCACTGTTGAAAACAGAAATGTGCACCTCTTTGCTACAGTACACTTAGTAGGGAATTCACAGGCAGGTACTATGCAGCACAGTAGTGGAGATTTTGAATATGTCAAGAAGCTCCTCTGACTGGTAACCCAAGGAGGTGCATTATTTTACCCTTAGAAATTCTAATTTGGCATAAACCTGTGATAGAAGGATCTGGTAATGTTTCTGATTTATGCTTAATTTTGGCACTAGTGAAAACCTGGGTTTTTAATGGACATGGAGGAAAAATACATTAGGAGCTAATAAGGCCAAATTGAATGTAAAGCAACTTAGTAAAAGTGAGATAAGGTGAGGAAAAAATTATTTTCCATGCTGAAGGCTGAAGAGACCTTTGCCTGCTGGGCCTTAAAGCAATGTATGATTCAGAGTTTACTAAAAGCAGCGTTAAAAAAAAATGCCATGCAATTATTAGAAATAAGAAAAGAAGCTGCAACTTGGCTTAGGCTCAGTGGTTTCTTTGCTTGTACTGTAAAGTGCTTCTTCGCTGGGCATTTCTCTAACAGAAAGGCGTGGACAAAGAAGTACTGATACTCATTTTTGTAATGGTTTTTTTTTTCTGTCTACACAGGTAGAAAAAGTGGCATTTCCCCCAAAAAATCGAAATACATGACCCCAATGCAGCAGAAATTGAACGAGGTGTATGAAGCAGTTAAGAATTACACGGACAAACGGGGCAGGCGGCTGAGCGCCATCTTCTTGCGGCTGCCGTCTCGGTCTGAGCTGCCCGACTACTACATAACCATTAAGAAGCCGGTTGACATGGAGAAGATCAGAAGTCACATGATGGCCAATAAATACCAGGATATCGATTCCATGGTAGAAGACTTTGTGATGATGTTCAACAACGCTTGCACCTACAATGAGCCAGAATCTTTGATTTACAAAGATGCCCTGGTCCTGCATAAAGTTTTGCTTGAAACTCGAAGAGAGATAGAAGGAGATGAGGATTCTCATGTGCCCAATGTGACTTTGCTAATTCAGGAACTTATCCATAACCTTTTTGTATCTGTTATGAGCCACCAGGATGATGAGGGCAGATGCTACAGTGATTCCCTAGCTGAGATTCCTGCTGTTGATCCCAACTTCCCAAATAAACCTCCTCTGACTTTTGACATTATCCGAAAAAATGTTGAAAATAATCGCTATAGACGACTGGATTTGTTCCAGGAGAACATGTTTGAGGTACTGGAGAGGGCAAGGAGAATGAACAGGTGAGCAAAACCGTATTTTGCAGATATCTGTTGTCATACAGCATGTTTTGTTGGTTAGGGAGACTCGAGTTTTTATTTTTAGTGTTTGCTTTTCTTGGAGTGAGCGCTCAGAAATTTTAGTTCGTTCATGTCTTCAAAGGAATGTAAGTTTTCTTTTATAAACAAGGAAAAATGTAGGCTTTTGCTATAATTTTGATGCTAATGTTCTAAAGATTAACCTTATGAAAACCACATTTGTTCCAAAGCTGTGAGCCCTTTAAAACGTCCAGCAGTGTTTAACTTGAATTAGGAAAGACATCTTTGTTAATATTGCTGTTACTCCTTAAGTTCTCAGAAGTAATGTTTGAAAATGAACAGACTGGCAGGGGCCAGTGGCAAGTAATTTTAGTCTCAAGCAGTTGGTTTTCATTTTTCTGTTATTTTAGAACTTGTTTATAAAAAAATACTGCTTTTAGATAAACTGTAAAACAAACTGACATCATACTAGCAGATGGAGCACGACTTGCCAGTGTCTGTGGTGCCACCTGTTATGAGTAAGCACAGAAATCTGTTAGTAAAGTGGAGCTTTAGCATGCATCACCCATCCCGTCGGTACGAGGCAGTTTGCCCAATATTATTTTGATTACAGTTTGTCATTATTTCCTTGGAAGCAGTCTCTTCTGTTTTGTTCTTTTGCTTTGCTTGCTTATTTGGGTGTTGCTTTTTGTTTCGTTTTTACCGTATCAACCTGAGTTACATTGAATGATCTTGTCTTCTTTTTACTTTCACATTCTTTTTCAAAGAAGTCAGCAGTGCTTTACGCTGCAAATTCTCTCTGGAGTTTGTCAGAATTCCACCTTGAGGTGGATCATGAGATGCTTCTCTAAGTTGATATCTGTGTGGCCGTCGAGCAATCTGGTGGTGGTGATTGCTCTAATCTGCCTTTTTCTTCACCTTCACTGAGATTTTTAAGTTTTGCAACTGGAAAACCTGCAGTAAGTTTCAAAAAAGGCAAAGGCCATCTTCAGCTGAATACTTCTGCAGATAAGAACGACCTGTAACTGTTCAGTTGTGTTTGATTGGAAACTGTTCACTTTGGCCACAGGCGATCAGTCACCATTTCATTTTCCAGGAGATGTAAACACCCCTTTGTAACCTTCTTCATTGTAAAAATACCTTTTCTTTCCTTATGATGAACTCTGTAGCTCAAATACAATGTAATCTGCTACTCAAATTTGAAAAGTAGCACAGGTTAAGCTTAATTTGCTGAACTTTCATTTTGTAAATTCTTTCAAATAAAGGGTAGGTGACAAGCCAGGCTTAGCCTCCTAGGCTTACACTTTCCGTTTTAAGCTAGTAGCCAAATTAGATACTGAAATAATCTGTGGTAATTTTACAGACAGGCTATAGAAGTGTATAGATATGATGTAAAAGAGCATTATTTTTTTAAAGAGGAGTTTTATTGCAAAGTATGGAGGTCCACGGGTGTGTGTGTGTTCAGGATCCTGTTTGACTGCACAAAGTTATGTTTCTGCCATGTTATATTGTACCTGCTTTTGTACAGGACGGATTCAGAGATTTATGAGGATGCAGTTGAACTTCAGCAGTTCTTCATTAAAATTCGAGATGAACTCTGTAAAAATGGAGAGATTCTTCTGTCTCCTGCTCTCAGTTATACCACCAAGCACCTTCACAATGATGTAGAAAAAGAGAAGAAGGAAAAGCTACCCAAAGAAATAGAGGAGGATAAACTCAAAAGAGAGGAGGAGAAAAGAGGTAGCTATTTTCATTGGTATTAAATGTACTGAGAATATACCTATGTGTATCGTGTGTGCTCTGCTGTTGCTGCAGCTTCACTTACTGAAGGTTATGTTTTAAGGTGATGAGAGATTTATTTTATTTTGATCCTTATCAGCTGGGTCCACATGGCTTTGAAACAGAGAGAAATGTAGACACTAACCCTAAGTAAACTCTTCAGTAGAACACATGAGGAAACAGTAGTCTAACTCCAGTTATATTACAAAATAAAATAATTGGGTAGGTTTTATTGTAGCTGGTAATAAACTTAGCAATGACTGTTCCAATGGACCTCTGAGTCATTTACTTTTTGGTAAATATAATTTTCGTTGATATGCTGAAGGTGTTATCTCTGATCATACTTTCTTGTTACTAATGAGATGACATCAAAGTAAGCCTCTTGCATTTCTTGTTTGGCTGCTGTGGGTATGAAGAGGAAAAAAGCTTTCAGCTTTCATGGGGCAAGATACCTACTGTGAAGATCTTTTGTTTCACGTTTCCTGCACATACAATGGCTGGTGGAGCATGTCACGTGGGGACTCAACACAGCTCTCTACCTGTTCTGTTCCACACATGTGAGCAGGGCTGTTAGTTCCTTGTCCTTCAGTTGTCTTTCTGACAGTTTGCCTTCCCGTGTGGCACTAAGGTCAGCAGCAGTAAAGCTGGTTGCTCCAACTAACTCAGTACCGTAAGGGAACAGCAGCTGTTAATACCCTTTTTTGGTCTTCCACTGAGAATTAAAAAAACCCAAAGAAAGCAATACATGCCTTTCTGAAGGCTTTTGAGGTCAGTCTTGTCAGCGTTTATCTTTCCTCACCTGAAGGGCTCAGTAAAACTCAGGTGGTTCCGTTTACTGAGTTATCTTAGAATATCCAAATCTGAAAAGGACCCACGAGGATCATCAAGTGCAGCTCCAGCCTCTTCATAGCACCACCTGAAATCCAAATCCTATGTCTGAGAGCAGTGTCCAAATGCTTCTTGAGCTCTGGCGGCTTGGGGTTGTGACCACTGCCCTGGGCAGCCCAGCACCCCCTGGTGCTGAACCCCAACCCTCCCCTGACACAGCAGTTCTGTGCTGTTCCCTCACTAGAGAGCAGAGCTCAATGCCTGCTCGACACTACACTCGTAGCCAACAAGCATTACCAGTTTGTGGTCATTCACCTGCTTGCAGCCATCTGCTTTTCTTCACATTTACTTGCTCTTGCATACGTGTTACGATCAACAATACTGACAAAAATACTGTTTTATAAGTAATTCTTTTCATTACAATTTTAAAATAATTCACTGAACAAAACTTATTTGATTCAATACAGGAAACATAATTCCTAAATGATGAAGAAGTTGGTGGCTTGATTTTAGAGTCCCTCTCTTGTTCTGTAGGACACACTTTTATTGCTCTTCGTGAGTTATTCAGCACCAAGCAAAGGTGCAAGTGTTCACGTGAGAAATCATGGCTAACATGTAAATGTAGAATTAGCAATGTTTGTTTTCCACCTGTTCTTGAAAACAGAAGCTGAAAAGAGTGAAGACTCCTCTGGCTCAGCTGGGCTGTCATGCTTGCATCGGACCTACAGCCAGGATTGCAGCTTCAAGAACAGCATGTACCACGTAGGAGACTACGTCTATGTGGAGCCTGCTGAAGCCAACTTGCAACCTCACATAGTCTGTATTGAGAGGCTATGGGAAGATTCTGCTGGTAAGGGTGCTTTTCATACAGAAAGACAATACAGTGAAGCTTATTACTGTTTCCATCTTCAAATTTGAGCCTTTTTTGTGTTAAAATTGGATTTGCAGAAATGTGTGAACTGCTGAGTATTTTTTCTTGTTTCTGAGTTGCTCTGTCCCAAAATAATTATGAATAGAAAGTTCTTGGATCAACACATGCTTTTTTTTTTATCTTCTCAACTCATCCCCAAATTGTCAGCATCTCAGAAAATAGGCATTTTGAAGTGGATTGAGCTTCTTCTAATTTAGATGCAGAAGGATGGCAATAGAAATTTCTGAACCAAAGTTGGACACGTATAACTGCAAATGTTGGAAGCCATTTGAAGGCTTGGAAGTAAAAGATAGCTATAAATAAGTTGCAGAGTCTGTTTCCTGTAAATGATCGATTCTGTAGATCTCAGCAAAATGAAGATGAAATTAATTCTTCTGGGGGGGAAAAAAAGTTTGCAGGATTTCTAAGAAACCTAATTTTCTTTACCCAAAGCAGTTAAGGAATCTTTCTTTCTTAAATTGGTTAAATTTGTTTCACTGATTATTATGTGGCTATCTGATAAAGAAAACCGTTTGCAGTCTGTTTTGCTTCTTCATGCACTAGAGAATACACGTTTTTAGATCTTTTCCTTTCTTCCTCTCTTTTTGTTTCTTTTTTAAAGGAGAGAAATGGCTGTATGGCTGTTGGTTTTATCGACCAAATGAAACATTTCATCTTGCAACAAGAAAGTTCTTGGAGAAAGAGGTTTTTAAAAGTGACTATTATAATAAAGTTCCAGTTAGCAAAATTTTGGGTAAATGTGTGGTCATGTTTGTTAAGGTGAGAAACTCTTTGGACTAATTTGTTTATTGACTTAATATGCTCTGTGCTGTTTTCTTGAGGAGGTGTAGGTACTCTGATCTGTAGGCATTTTAGCAATATTGAGATAAAGTTTTAAAAAGGATTCGCTCCCATGTACTGCTTGTGTTTTTTGTTTGCTTTGTAAGCTCCGTAGTTCATCCACATGACACTGATTTTCAGTGCTGGTTGCTTTTTGGAATCACTTACGAATTAGATGAGTAGATAAGGATTTTCTCAGAGAATCTATTAGAGAAATTGCAGGTAATGTCGTAAAGGCTGAAGAATACTTGAGACTCCCCTTGAGTGCAGTGTTGGTAAGAAGATGAAGTCTCTGCTATCTGTCCCATGTTTGATACCCTATTGTTCTTGTGAAACTGTACGAGAAGAACTCGGCAGACAGGCTGTATCAGTCTGAAAAGGCTTCTGATAAAAGCATAGAGAAAGCTGGAGCGCATGAAAGGGAGTACGCTGTATGTCTGGTGGCTGCTGGGTGTGGGTATGTTGCTGAAATAGTTCACCTAAAAATGTCATCCTCTTCGTTCTGCAGGAATATTTTAAACTGTGTCCTGAAAACTTTAGAGATGAGGATGTGTATGTCTGCGAGTCGCGTTATTCCGCTAAGACAAAATCTTTTAAGAAGATTAAGCTGTGGACTATGCCTGTCAGCTCTGTAAGATTCGTCCCACGGGATGTGCCCCTGCCTGTGGTCCGTGTTGCTTCTGTATTTGCTAATACAGACAAAGCAGAGGAGGAGAAGCACTCTGATACGTTAGATGACAGTAAGGTGGGAGAAAGTATCCTTCATCTCGAAAAGGTATGCAAGATGGAAAGGTTTGACAGATAAAGAATGATGAACGTTTAAGCCTGCACAACTTAGGTTTCTCAGCATCCAGCCACAGGAAAAAATGTACATAATATTCATGTTTAAAGTTATTTTACATTCATTACAGAGACACAAACAAGTTATAACCTGACTAAGCAAAAAGTGAGTTGTGTACCTATTTGCTAGGTTTTACAAAATGCTTTCTTGTGACCATGGTAAAGGTTATTTTTTTTTCCTTTACTGCTTCAGTAGAAAATAATATTTCTACTAAAAACTTCGTTGCAATCCTGGAGAATCAGTGGATCTAAAAGTCTAATTTCAACTGACATTGATCCTAACCTGCTTTTTGAAGTAGTCTTTCAGTAAAATTGTTAGTAGCAAGGCAGCAGTAAGCAGTACATAATAAACACTGTGGCTGGTTTGTGGTTAACAACCAAGTAGTTTACCTTCAAACTGCATTTTTCTGCATAACCTACTAGGAAAACTGGTTTATTTTATTGTATTTAAAGTTGTAAGGAAATATACTTTTTTAATTGTGTTAAATTGCAGTAAATTTAATTGTTTATATGAAATAAATTTGGAGTAATGAGTCTATTTTACATTCTGAGCACTCTAACAGAGCCTCAAAATGGAATGTCCAGCATTGCCACTTAGTATACACTGTATGTATTACTGTATTTATTTGCTTCACGACAAAAGAAGAAATCCTTTCTACCAAGAGGATGAAAGCTTTTAAAGTCTTTTCCTGACACACACTGAGGGGATATCCTGTGTTTCCATTGGCTTTCTGAAATAACAAACAGAGAAGTCAAATGAAGCTTGAGGCACCAAAGAGAAATTAAAATAGAGCAAACTGCATGATTCTGTTCTTAAAAGCATGGAGCAGTTGTGTAACTGTGATAAATGATCATTACACTTTTATTTCTTTTAACTTCACCAAATACTGAATTCTTGCCTTCTGTAAGTTTTAGTGTGCTTTAAAACAAACCATCAAAGTAGACAGATAAGGCTTCAAAGTTTATGACTTTGTAGTAATAGCACAAAAAAGGATCTGTGAATTACTGGCAAAATTACAGCTTTGATTATGAAATAGGAAGGCTTGCAACGTACATAGAGGGATAGCTCTGGCTTGGATATTTCATTTTCTAAAGTCCAAGTCCCCTAATTTTTGCTTTTACTTGTCTAGTTGGTGTGTTGCCTATTATTGGTGACATAAAGGTGGAGCAAATACTCTTCTCCTTGCACCTGGCATCATTGTGTTTAGTTTCCATTGTCCCACAGGTTTCTAAGTGCATTTTCTTTTGCAGGACAAGGAAGATGTACCAGTAGAAATGTCTAATGGGGAGCCTGGTTGCCATTACTTTGAGCAGCTCTGTTACAATGATATGTGGCTTAAGGTTGGGGACTGCGTCTTCATAAAATCGCACGGATTAGTGCGGCCTCGGGTAGGGAGGTAGGTAACACTTCTTTATTGCACTTTGTGTCTATCAAAGTACATTGGCCAAAAGACTGGATTATTGCAAAAAAGTGTAGAAGAGGATGGGAGAAAAAAATCTTCTGAATGAGGCTGTGTTAGAAGCTCTTACTAGGCTGAGGTGGAATTGTGTCAGCCTGTTAAAAAAGGTAACGGCTGCACAGTCAGAGCAGGCTGCACTTCAGTACTTGTTTCGTGCCCACAGTCTTCCCGAACAGCCCAGTGTATCTAGCTTACTCCCTTAGTAAGGATGGCCTTGCACTGATGTCAGTGATATGTTTTTCTTTCCAGAATTGAAAAGATGTGGGTGCGAGATGGAGCTGCGTATTTCTTTGGTCCAATCTTCATCCATCCTGAAGAAACTGAACATGAGCCAACTAAAATGTTCTACAAGAAGGAAGTGTTTCTGAGTAACTTGGAGGAGACCTGTCCTATGTCGTGCATTTTGGGTAATTCCTAGCAACTTTAAACCCACTGGGCACTCTGTACATTTAAAAGGAAAAAGCAAACAAAAATCTGAAGTCAGAGAGTAGAAAACTCCATTATTCTTGCTTATTCATGTAATTATTCCAGTATATGTACCTGGAAAGTCAGCTCAGAAGGAGGTTGATATTTGGTTTGTTGAATAAGATGACTGTTACGTACTTCATTCTGTAATTCAGATGCATTGTGACTGGCAATGGCTTTTTTTTTGTTAATCTTTTAATTTTATTTTTTTTCTTTAAAAAAAAAAATACTCCAAAAGCTGCATTCAGTTGGTGTAGGTTTCTCATGAGTGACATTATTTAACAGAGACGTCAGTTGATGTATTTTTCCACAGCTGGGTCAAATAGTGGGCTGATACTTACATGGCTAGTGAAAATTTGAATTTCCACCCCTTGTTGTAAAGGATCTGCCTTCTTACCCAGCTCTGTTCATTTCTGCAGGCAAGTGTGCTGTTCTGTCGTTCAAGGACTTCCTCTGCTGCAGACCAACTGAAATTTCTGAGAATGATGTTTTCCTGTGTGAGAGCCGCTACAACGAAAGCGACAAACAAATGAAGAAATTTAAGGGGCTCAAGAGATTTTCACTCTCTGCAAAAGTTGTCGATGATGAAATATACTATTTTAGGTAAAAATGTTATGGGAATGTGGAGATCTCCTGAGCACTCTGTGTTGAGGTGTGTTGGCCCACCCAGCAGCTGAGCCCCTATGCAGCCACTTGTACATTTCCCATAGCATGAGGAGAAAATGAAAAGGGCAAAAGCAAGAAAGAGTCTTTTGTTAATATAAAGGCAGTATAGTTACTGATGCAAAGCTATGCATGCAAGCAAAGCGAAATAGGAATTCTCTACTTCCCATCAGCTGGCAGATGTTTAGCTGCTTGCTGGAAAGCAGGGCCTCAGCACAAGCTGTGGTTTCATGGAAAGACAAATGCCATAACCCCACATCCATCACCTTCGTTTCAGTCAGTTGAATATGGAGATGGTTAAGGCCAGGTTGGGAGGGCCCTAGGCAGCCAGATCTCTAGTGGGTGGCCATCAGCCCCTGGCAGAGCTTGGAACCTTCAAGCTCCTTTTCAACTGGTACCATTCTGTGGTTCTGTATCCCTTTAGTCAGTTGGGATCAGCTATCCTGCCTGTCCCCCCACACAGCTTTTTTGCCTGTTCCCAGCCTGCTCACTTTGAAAATGTGGAGAGAAGTTGGTTTTCTCTTCAAAATATTTGCTGTGCCTTGTTGAGTATGAGTGTATTCTCATCTTCCTTCTGTCTTCCTCCTGTGCCTTTCAGAAAACCCATAGTTCCTCAGAAGGAACCATCTCCACTTCTGGAGAAGAAAATCCAGCAGCTAGAAGCAAAGTTTGCTGAGCTGGAAGGAGGCGATGAGGACATGGAAGAGATAGGAGAAGAGGAAGGTGATATCACTGAAACACCTTCCATGCCTCAGCTTCAGACCCCGTTATCTAGTGAATTGGATATCATGCCTTATACTCCACCACAGGTAAACATGTTCCTTGAGCGACCTTTAAGTGCTGATATTCCTCATTCTTACCTCAACCCCATTAAACAAAATGCAATAGTGTTTTATCACATCTACAGACTTATAGTTTGATTTACTGGTCTGTGGAGTGATGACACAGAGCAGTTTTAGCATGTCCAATACGATATCCATATTCTAATTATTGAGTCAGTTAAAATATTTTTAAAGGAAATCATTCAGCTGAGGAAAATCTCGCAGGGAATGTTGTGTAGATGTCAATGTTGATTTTTCCATGAGTATGTTTTCTGTGACACTTCTTATGAAATAATAGGTATTTATATCAACTATGAGATTAGGATGCAAGAGTTTAATTGTAATACTTAGGTAACCTGGCATCCATTTTAAAGCTTTTCCCTACATCTTGTAAAAAGCTAGACTGGAGTGTTGGAGTTGTGACATGTTTCATTTTTTAGAAAATGCTACACATCATTATTGAAGGAAAAAAGATCGCTCCTTTAAGTTACCATTCATACTTGAAAGTCAGAACTTGAGAGGAAAAAAAGTGATGAAAACTTTTTATGTGTCTTGCTGTACATCGCAGAAACTTTAATGTGCTGATACATGGGCAGGAGACAAATCAGAAACCATGTGGTTACGTGGCATTTGAACGTGCCATGAGTCATTGCTGCTGCTTAAACAGGGCATTTTCAGTCCTCCCTCTCTTACTACTTGTCTCACACAAGCCCTGGTATTTATGTAACTGAGTATTGAAGTAGAGTGGGAAACTTTACCTGCGAGTTAATCTAACCAAAAACATTTGTTTGCAACTGGATTAAATTATTTTATTTGTTTCATCACATTCTCACATTTAAGTTAATGCCAGCCTTAAGAAACCAGTGGGAGTGATGTGCTGGGAACAAGAGGGAGTTTGGGATATGTTTGTAACCAGCAGTCTGGATTTCTGCTGTGTCATACTAATTCTGAAGCGACAGCCTCATTGGCAGCTGAAGAAACGATGTGACCACTGGGTAGAAATAACTGTCTTTGGATGTGACACACATGTACACACATTGATGAAATTCATTGCTTTACCTTGGTTTGTTTGTGATTATTTTTTTTGCTATGTGAGCAGACCACCAAATGCATTTGGTGCAGCTGTTGTTCTGCTCTTTTTTAGTGCTGTGTTCTTAAGTAGCATAAGAATTCTTGCTAAGTGCTAAAAAAAAAAAAAAAAAAAAAATATTGTGTTGTTAATCTGTATTAACTAACATAATTTTATAGGAGAGGGGACTGTGGCTGCTTATGCATCAAAATATTACCATTGCAGCTCCTGAAAGCAGTTTTAAGTAGGAATTGCTGGACATTAAAGAATTCCTTGCGCTGCCTTTTTGCAGCATTCGCTGTCTTCTGCTCTCCTTTGCTTTCTGTCTTCCAGTATGGCTGTTTTGTTCAGATCTCTTGAGATGTTTTATTGAGGAACTAATATATAGTGTCTTTTTAAAAAGCCATATTTGAAAGCTGCATTTCTTAGAATTGTTTGTAATGGGACTTCTAGGGTAACTGTTGAGAAATCAGTGGAAATATCCAACGTGTGTCTTTATACTTCAGCCAGATGTGATCTCTGAAGACTAGAAATTGAAGTGGGAAAAGAAAGTAAGAAAAACTGAAAAGGGTCAAATAGCAATGCAGGCTGAAAGTAAAGAACAATTCTTAAGGGCCCCTGGGAGATTCCTGATGCTGCTGATGTGGAAAATAAAGGACGCTGTGTCTGAGCTGCTACACAAAGGACAGTGTAACTGTGGCAGAGTGATTGCAATCGCATAGCACAGAAATGAACCATCTTTGTTGACCTATTGTAATCTGTTCTATTTCTGTCCCCTTTAAAATAAGTTCTTTTAAACAGAGCTCCTAGGTAAAAGGCACACGATTGCTTCACGTTCTCTTAAAGATATGCAATTTATCTAACAACTAAAAACCCTGATGGTTTTTACCCCTTTTTCCTGGTAACAAAAGAAGCAAGTATTACTCCTGAAAATTAAATGAGTCAAGCCAAGTCAAGCTTGACAGATGAGTGGATGTTGCCTTCCTGCTGCTGTTTGCTGTGAATCAAGAAGCAGAATGGGAAGGGAAAAAAAGAAGTGCAATTTTAGTTTTGGTTTTTGCTTTATCATATGGCTGTGAAATGTTGTACGAGTGGGTCTTGGTTTATTTCTTCTCATAACACATCTAAAACAGTTACCTGGCTGGAGTGGAAAATATTCTGTTAGAAATTGTCATAGCAGCAATGTAGAGTAATGGAAAACGTAAGAATTGAATTTAGAATTCTTAAAAAAAAAAGTCCTGTTATCTCTCCCAAACTGATGGCCTGACCTTTAAGTGTAATAACACGACTGTTATTAATATACTACTGCAAGCATCACAAAGCAAAACCAGCTGATACATTTGTGTCTAAGTGCAGAGGCCAAGTCATACAATTATTAAGGTTGGAAACTATCTCTAAGATCATCTAGTCCAACCATCCACCTGCCACCAGTATTGCTCACTATGTTCCTAAGTACTACATCTACCCTTTCCTTAAACACCTTCAGGGACAGTCAATCCACTGCTCCCTTGGACAGCTTGTTCCAATACCTCAGCACTCTTTCTGAGAAGAAATTCTTCCTAATATCCAGTCTGAGCCTCCCCTGGTGCAACTCGAGACCATTCCATCTTGTCTCATCCCTAGTTTCATGGCAGAAGAGACTGACCCCCATCTTGCCACAGCCTCCTTTCAAGGATTTGTAGGAGTGATAATGTCTTCCCTGGGCCACCTCTTCTCCAGGCTGAATAATTCCAGTTCCCTCAGCTGCTCCACATAAAGCTTGCACTCCAGCCCCTGCCAGCTTGGTTGCTCTTTTCTGGACATTCTCCAGGGCCTCAATGTCTTTCATGCAGTGAGAGGCACAAAACTGAATACAGCACTCGAGGTGTGGGTTCACCACTCATGACCCGTCACCAGCTGAATTTTGATCTCCATTCACCTCCACTCTCTGGGCCCGGCCCTCCAGCCCCTTCTTTACCCAGCACAGTGCGCCTGTCCAAGCCCCGGGCTGCCAGCTTCTGCAGGAGAGTGCTGGGAGAGACAGTGTCAAAGGCTCGGCTGAATTAAAGGAAGTCTGTGCCAACAGCCTTTCCCTACCCACCAGGTGTGGTGGATTTGGAATACATGTTCCATATGTATAACTGGATTTTCCTTTTTCTGAACTGAGAACTTCTGAGAAGCTAGGTTATGTTCTGCCTGCACTGTGTGGGGTTTTTTCTTCGTTTCTCCATCATAGAGACGTATCTAAAGAATTCCTCCCAAAAAGCTAAGTGTTACCCCTGGTTTGTAATGAAAACAGCAAGGGTAGATTGCTATTTGAAAATGAATGCAGTGATGTTTGTAGTAACATATCGTTACGCCTCAGTTCATCCACCACTTGGCTTAAATTATGAACAAGACTTTCAGAGTCTTGGTGTAGCTGAAGCTTTGCATTTCTCTGAGAGATAGGCATTAGACATTTTTCCCCTGCAGATGTTTGGAAATGATTGTACTGCTCACAGTGTGAGAAATTTGTAATGCTGAAGACGTGGGGAGAGCCTTCTGAAGGTTTTGGTCTGATGAAGCATTTTGGGCCTTATTGGCCACACAGTGGGTGGGTTATGGTCTCCTGCATCTAATGGCAGGTGTTACCTTGCTGGTTGTCAGAGTAGGTTGAATTTTTTGATGGCTGGAGATGTCAAAGAGCTCTCAGCAGGAGCAGTCTGGATGATGAGAGCAAAGGAGAGAGATCTTTAGTGGAACAGAGGATTAGTTACCCATCAACAGGTAGGGCTGTGAACCTGTGTGCAGGTGACAGTGAAATTGGGCACTGTTTTTCATTTCCAGGGATAAGTGGGTATTTAGGAAATGTGAGAGGAGCAGTAGAAAGGAAAGTTTGACAGGCAAAATGAAGAGCACTCAGAAATGTGAAATTAGGGGATGGCACCAAGGAGATGAGAGGTGCAAAAGCCCAGGATTAAACGTGAAAGCCATTTCATAGAATGTGTGATGGCAAATGAAGTGTTCTACTTGGCTCGTGTTGGCAGTATTTCTGAACAGCAAAATAGATGACGTGAAATTAGTACAATTGCTTGTATTCTCTTTTTGCCTTCTAAATAGTTGCTTCCTATTCAGTACTTCTGAGCCCTGTGGATTAATTTGAAATGACCTCAGCTAATAGCAATTGTTCTGTGCTGAGTTACTGCACACTTTTGGAGCCGCAGTTATAAGGTTGGCCTTATGTCTGGAAGGGTTAAAAAGCATCATTTACTGTGTTTTGCTTTTTGCTTTTGTTGTTACTGTGGGGTTTTTTTCCCCACTTGAGTGTTTTCTGTAAATGCGTGTGTTCTTGTCGCTCACTGGGAAGCGTAGTCTCTCTTGAGAGGCTGTAAGGTTGGCTGGCCCTCGTATGGATGTACAAGAGAGAAAATTGGGGATATATTTACATGCTATTTCCTACAGCTTTTACTTTTTTAATGTTAAGAAACTTCTCTGTTGTATACTTGTGGTCATAACTGCTTTTTCTCACAGTCCACTCCCAAGTCTGTTAAGGGCAGCACCAAGAAGGAGGGATCAAAAAGGAAGATCAACATGAGTGGTTACATCCTATTTAGCAGTGAGATGAGAGCTGTGATTAAAGCTCAGCACCCAGACTACTCCTTTGGAGAGCTCAGCAGGCTTGTAGGAACTGAATGGAGAAACCTGGAAGCAACAAAGAAAGCAGAATATGAAGGTAAATAAAATACAAAATGTTAAACTTTTTTTTTCTACTTTTTCTCTCTGAACATGTTCATTACTGTTACTCAGATGACCAGTTTTATAAAAGAAGATGGTTATCATAGAATCACAGAATGTCATAGAATTGTAGAAATCATAGTTATCGCAGGATGGCTTGTGTTGGAAGGGACCTTCACTGTCCTCTAGTTCCAATCTCCCTGCTGTGGGCTGGCTCCCCCCGCCAGCTCAGGCTGCCCAGGGCCCCATCCAACCGGGCCTTAAGCACCTCCAGCACTGGGGCACCCACAGCTTCTCTGGGCAGCAGTGCCAGGGCCTCACTGCCCTCTGAGTGTAGTTACGTTTGTGTTCTGGGAGTACCTTAAAGAGAAGTTGTATTGAGCGATGACTGAAGAGGAGCAAAGAGAGGCTTAAATTGTGCAGTGCACAACTGATAATTCAGATGTCTTTGCCACAAATAATCAAATGAGCCAAGATAAAAGAAATGTGGAAAATGAGGAGCAAAAGGGCTCAGTGCCCTTGTCAGCTGAAAACACAGCTTGTGAAAGTTTCCATATGGGAGGGCTTTCGAGGGGGCTGCAAGAAAGGGATCTTTGGACAAGAAGCTCTTTGGAGCTGTAGTGCCAGGTAAGAAAGCTTACAGTAGAGTGGGAAAAAGTTCTTCAGTTAACTGTACTGAGAGTCTGAAAGAGTTCTGTTTAAAAAAAAAGAAAAAAAGAAAAAGAAGTATAGATTCAGTTGCAGTGCTGTAAATATGACGTGTTATTCAGTCTCAGTATTAATCACGTGTTGTAATTTTGCTGAGAGATTTTGAAACCTTATGCCAATAAATTTCATAGGTGTGAGATTTACTTTAGAAAGTCCGTTCTCTCCTTCATCCTCTCCTTCATCCTCTCCATCCTCTCCTTTGTCCTCTCCTTCATTCTCTTCTTCCTCACTGATACTGCTTACTGTGTGTCAACTTTTATTTGATCAAAGTCTAAATACAGTTGATCCTTAACAGCAGGCCCTATGAAGTCCAATACAGTGGTTTGACATTCAGTTATTTTTCTAGTTAGCAATGTCTGAGCATTTCTAATATAAAGCCCAGTTTTTAAGCAACTGTTGCAGTTTTATTGGGAGAAGATATTACTTTGGTTAGGGAAGTTTCAACACCCTAGGAAGGTATTGCTCAATTAAGTTACAATATTACTTTTAAGAGGTGAGATTTGGTTAGGTTTTTTTACACGCTTACAGTTTATGGTACACTTTGATCCTCAGACTAGAAGTTTGTGTGCTGCCACTTCACACCCTCAGCCTCCTCAATCCTTCCTGAAGTGCTGGAGGGTAATACAGCAGGACTGCATGCGAGTTTCCTTTGCGAATGTTGTCAAGGGAAGTGGTAATGCTGTATGTGAAAGTAGTATGGTCTTTCTTTTCCCTGTTGTAGTCTCCTATTTCACCATTCTAGGTGCGTCTGATACATTTTATTGCCAGGTCCCTCCCTGCAGCCTTGCCCAAGCAGTAGGATGGCTGGCATGTCCTCACTTCTAGCGTAGAGCAGCTTGCTGCTCGCACTTCCACCGTAATGTGACAGCAGCAGCGTCTGTCCTTTGTGTAAGCCCAAGTGCTTCCATTTCAGCCTTCCTCCTTACTTACATTTTTTCCAAAGCTTTTGAGTTTTGAACTGCAGTTTCTCTGACTTGTTGTCTGCCCAGGGACAGGCTTGCTTTCATTTGGTTTTGAAGGGTTGCAATGCTGTTCCTCAGGTCCAAACTCTTTGCTTACTCCTGTGCATGAAAGGAGAGAAACTCTGCTCCTCCCACTGTGACAGTGTGAAATTCATGCACTCCAGGGTGGGCCGAGAGTAGGGAGCAGATATGGTTTGACATTTCAATAGTAAAGTGCCTTTCCCTGATCTGCTGGGAAAGCAGTTTGCATTTTTGATCCATTTTGATCTACTGAAAATTTCATTTAGTATATGTGCAGAGTGATGGCTGTTCTTTAGCAGTAGTCAAATAAAGAACTGGCTGCATTGGAAGTGCCTGCATGGCTAACTGCACCGTGAGAACTCCTTAATATGAAAGAGTATGTGGGGTTTGAGGCCAAGGCTTGTCTTTAAGGAGAGGTCTGTTCAAAGCAGAATGTCTCTTTCCTGTCTCTTGAGATGCATTAGAAATGGCATTAGAATGATTTCAAGTCCTAGCCTGAATGATGCGAGTGTGAAGGTGAATGCTCCAGGCCAAACTTTCAGAACTCTTAAGTTCCCTCTGGCAGTATTGTTCCATCTGTTAGTTCAATGGTAGACAGGGACAGATCAGGTAAAACTTGAATGTTGTCCTATGTCACATTCTCAGAGGCTCAGCACTCCAAAATCTGATAAAACTGAATGCTTAACAAGACTCTCTCATTCATCAAAATGTCTTCAAAACTTTTGCTTTTGTCTGACTGTTATTTTCACTGGCCAAGAGTAGTTGAGAGGCAGAACAGCTACTTTATCTTTTCTCTAAATGCTTGCTGTACTCTTAAGATGATTATCTCCATTTTCTACTTCAGGATTTGCCTTTAAAAGTCTCATGTATTTTGTGGTCAGTCACATGTGAGTTGCCTGTAGTGTACATAGGAGTTCCTGTGCGTCGTCATCTCCTTCTGAAATGACACCAGTGAAAAGGAAGGAAATGCCTTTGGAAATGAAACCATTCTGACAGTGCATGGCAGTAGTGCTAGGTGTTGCACAGGTCCTCCGGGACACCAATGCATGGTGAACATTTGCAGTCACGTACTTGAAAAAACTAAGTAGCCTTGGCAGGATGCATGTATAACATGATCTTGATGAACTTTTTAGCCTTGTTTGACTGAGGACCTTGGTTGCTGTTTTAGTGACAGTTCTCATCTTTCACCAACTGCAAGAGAACTTCCAGCCCTGCATTCACTGTTGTTAACATTTGCTGGAGATGTATGCTGCATTCATTATCCTTTGTTGTTCCTCATTGCGTCAGTAAGAGATGATGTTCAGAGTGAACAACCAGCAACTTGCATGCTCCAGAAGCACCTTCAGTGGGCATTCGGTATACCTTCTTTTTTGTTTGCTTGGGGTTGTTTTTTGGTTCTCTTTTGTTGTGGTTTTTTTCTTTCTTTCTTTCTTCTTCCCATGACCCTTTGCCCTTCCCTCAGTATAAAATAGTCCTCCGGTCAGATTCCCCTGCAGTAGTTCTTTTGTTCCTGCAGTCATGGCGAGAAACTCGATTGAGATAATGACCAGATTAATCATACAAAGGACACACATGGCCTCCAGTGTGCAGCTCAGTGTGAGTTAGACATCTTCAGGAAAAATAAAATTAAAAAATCTGAGGGAACAAAAACGGGGAAAATGACAGAGGCAGAGCAGATATTTTTGGTTCATCAAACTGCTGCTTGTTATATTCCAAATGCTAAAGAACCTATCTACTCTAAGAAAACTTTGCAAATGCTTCCCAACTTTGCCACCATTTTTCAGCTGTATCAGTAAAACAAAAAACAAAACAACAACAAAAAAGCACAACAACAGCAAAACCGCCACCAATGAAACAGTAGTGGGGAGCACAAAAAGAAATGGGCCACTGGCACTGCTGGCTGCTATTTGTACCTTGCTCTGGGGCACTGGCTGGCAGTGCTGACTGAAGCTGGTCCAGCTGAGCCAGTGGTGTCCAAAGAGGGGAGGCTTTGCCGTGTTGTCCTGGTGCAGACTTAGCCTCGTGCTGGACTGCTGCTTCACATTGGTAACACTGGTGTTGTTATCCAATTTGTTCCTTTAAAATTTTTATTTTATTATTTTTATTATTATTAATATTATTTTTTAAGAAAAAGATAAAACTTTGTGGGATATTTTTCATTCAAGGTTCTCTAGAAGTCTTAGCTGCAGCCACATGAAATCAAATCATATGCTGGTTACAAAGATTCATCTGTTCTACTTTATATTTTACTAAAGTATGCCAGTGTTTGACTAGACCTTTTTAATGAACAGATAATATTTTGAAACTCTGGGTTACAAAACAGAACTGAAAATCTAAAATACTTTTACAGAGCGGGCAGCTAAAGTTGCTGAGCAGCAGGAGAGAGAGCGAGCAGCACAGCAGCAGAATCCCTCCCCCCGGGCAGGCACTCCTGTCGGGGCTCTTATGGGGGTGGTGCCGCCACCAACACCAATGGGGATGCTCAATCAGCAGTTGACACCCGTTGCAGGTAAAACGTAGGAGCTACGACCATTTTTCCTCATCCACTATATCAACCCCCTTCATAACTGAACACACTCTTGGGTCACTTTGTTCTTACGGAGGAAAACGCTCGGCCTCTTCAGTCTTCCTTCACGGTGAATATGCGTATCTGCAGCAGTAGGGTGGCAGCCCCAGTGCCCTGCCCCAGCAGTGGGCATTCTGGTGGAAACACAGGGAAGAAGCCTCCTCCTTGTGAGGCAGGCCTGTGCTGTTTGTATGCAGTTATGTTTACTGGCTCTACTTTGCAGAAGTCGTGTTTGTTCTCGCTGCAGCAGTGGTGCTGGGAGCTGAATACTCTTTGAGTGTAAGCAGCATCAGCGGAGGTGGTTCAGGAGGAGACAGAGGACTTGTTTTTGTTGTCGGGATGCGAGAGGCAAAAGAAAATCCAACCCAAATTTAATATCGAAACTCCAGAATTACGATTAGACATGAGCGCAGCTGGCTAGGTGCTGGAGTCATTGCAAAACCAAGTATGAAATGTCAGCACTGCTGGTTTTTATCAGGTGATTTGCAGAATAGACCTCAGCTTTGAGAACTCTTCTCTGTGGTTCCTGTTGGTTTTTTTTCTTGTTGCCAGTCATACTCCAACTTGACTCATAGGCAGTGTGTCCAGGTCCTACGTGAGGACTGCATAGTCCATAGGAAGTTCTTGTATGAGAATCAGCTGTACATCTGCGAGAGGATGGATTAGGATGGATCTGACCTGATGGGTTGCTTTTCTTCTCCCATTTCTGATTAGGAAGGATTGGGTAGCATCAGTCAAGGTTGAAATAGTCCTGAGTTAGGTAAAAGTGAATAGTTGGATGAATGACTAGTTTTTTGTTTTCTTTTTGTTGTGTGGTTTGATTTGGTTTGTGAGTTCTTGGTTGTTGGTTTTTTTTTAACTTCAGGCATTCAAATTATTCCATTTATTCTTTTGTTCTTTTTTCTTTCCCGCCTTGCAGGCTGTGGCCATACTTAGAACTGATGGCCTGAAGTATTTTTCATCCTGGTTTCTAAACCCTTTTTCAGTGCATTGGTTGGAGGGATGCTTAGACTGAAGGCATATCTCTTACATAGTTTACCACCTCCAGGTTACAAAAGCAGTTGTTTATACTGATATTTCTTTTTGCCTTAAAAAAATAAAATGTAAGAAACGCCTTTGTTCTTTGAACACCTTTCAGATTTTGTGTCTTGCGGTGGTGTTTGTGTGCGTGTGCATATATTTCAAAAAGAAAGAGAAGGAAAACTAGCTCCAGTGCTGGTCGTCTTTGTGAGCAATCTTTGATCTAGATGAGGTGGCGATGACTAGGAATGTCATCATCTCATGGTTGTTTTTTATCTTGGTTTGGTTCCTGCTTTTTCATATTGTCACATTTCCAACTATGTGTGTTCCCTGCCATCCTGCAGCAGCCTCCTCATAAAGCACACTTCTGTTCAAGGCCATAATCTTGCAGTTCAAGCAGTTAGAAGTTCAAGTCTCGTTACTCAGCCATTGTGAAATACTTCTTTAGGAGGATGACCAAGTGGATCTTTATAAACTCTTGCTGGTTTTGTCCCATTTGCAGTCTTTCCTCTTTTGGTTTCCACAAGTGTCTTATTCCATGCAGACTTTTCAAACCTTCCTCCATCTTTGAGTCACAGTTTTAAGCCCATCTTTAAGTCACAGTTGCTTTTCTCTGTTTCTGAGATCTTTTTCATCGTAAGACTTTTTTACAGTCCACAGGTGCAAGAAATCATGATGCCTTCTGAGATGCATTTCTCTCAGCACACAGTGCTCTAGTTGCTTTCAAATTTAGGACCTACAATAGCTTATTTAATCTCACATTGTTACAGTTCAAAGAAATGGGAGGAAGAGTAAGTTGAAAGGCAGTAAATCACAGCTGTGGGAGCTGAAAATAGTTCACCAGGTATACTAGTTTAAAATCAAAGTGATAATTTGTACGTGAGGAATGACAGTGGCTGTTTGTATAACCTTGTGATGAGCTAAAAAAACAGATTTCCTATGGAGACTTTTCTACGTGTCATTAATCTAATCAGCTGCTCAGTATTTTGTTTGGAAATGCAGGAATGGGCTTTTGTGATGGACAAAGATGGGTTTGTTTCATTGGAAATTTGGTTCTGTTTTGTATTTTTTGTGGATTTTGTTTTGTTTTTTCTTCTCTTTAAAAGCTTCAGAAGCTTACAGAGGTGCACTGATGGTGTGACTGCAGTGTGGGGTGCACTGCAAGTACCAGGCAGCAGCTACAGTCAAAGCACATTATTCCAGGGATGCTTTTATCCTTTCTTCTTTTACTTCTGCCATTAGCAGTACAGATTGCACTGTATTGATAAGGTGGAACAGATAAGCTTCTAGATATATGAAATAGTATCCAAAATCAGTGTCAGTCTGGGTGTCCTGTGTATTCAAAGAAAATGAATGTTTGAAGATCAGTTCTTTGTTCCAAGTCAGGCTTTGGAATTGCAGGTTTCTCACCTTTGTCACCCTTGCTGGGCAGGTGACGAATCTGGCTCACATGTTGGAGCCACTCAAGCTGCTCGGATCTTGAGCTCACAACAGCTTTGCTGCTGAAAAATGTTCAGTCAGAGCTGATGTTGATTTTTTATTTTTTTTTTCCTGACATTTTTATTCCAGAGATCTCTGCTTTGAAAGTTTCTTTTATGGGTTACTTGGAGTGTGGCAAAGACTTTGTAAGTTATTGCTTGGAGCAGGTTACAGAAAGCCCAGCAGTTCTCATTTCTAAACTTACCTTTTTTCTTTAGACTTGCTTCTGTCCCCTCTCAATCTTTTTGTTGCCTTTCCAACACCTTTCCTTGTTTCTCTGATTTAAAAGCATAGAAAACAAACAAGAAAATAGGCAAGTTTAAGTTCTAGCAGCTAGCATTACCTGCATTGTCTGGGTGCACTTAAATGATGGCAGTGAACCTGAGTCACAACCAGAATCAGCCCTTAAGTCGTCTTCCTCACATGCTGAAAAACAAAATTATGAGCAGCAGTGCAGTATCTTTGTGTTCCCTATTAAGATGCTTTGAGAGCAGTGGGGTACGATGTGATTTACAGCCAGGGGCCAGATGAGTCCTTGTCAGCTCTTTTACCTTCAGTCAAGTGCTGTGAGTGCAGGTCTGCAGCCCAGTGCTCTCCGGCCCCACGCTGTAGTGATTTCCTTGATTTGTACTGAAAATGGTATAAGAACAGTCATCCCTGTCACTGCCTTTGATTTTAAGCATATGGACTTTTAAATGGAAATTTTGCATATTCACTGCAGAAAAAACGTGTAGATCTTTATTTTTTCTGGTCAGGTCTCTGAGCCAGCCCACACACCAGGGCTGTGTGCAGGGCTAGTGTAGTTAGTGTTGTGTCTGTAACCTGTATGCAGATGGCAGAGCTTTAAGCCGCGTTAAAATCGCTTGTTAGTAACATTTAATTGTGGCTGAATTTATCCCTTGTGTTAACATGTCTCAGTATTCAGCATTTATTGCCCCCATGAGAAGCCTACGAATACACTAAATACTAATTCATCAACAGTGCAGTGTTTCATATCGATAACTTGATTTCATTTTTGCGAGATACTAATTGTAGTCTCGTCTTGCTCTACTAAGGGTGCTTTCGATTTCATTTTATTTTTTGTGGATAGTGCATGATTTACTGTATAGATCATATTGCATGTCATTGATGCATGTTTGAAATTTGTTGTGTCCTTCAAGGCATGATAAGTGGCTATCCACCGGTGCTGCCACCTTTGCAGGGCCCAGTTGATGGCATTGTTAGCATGGGCAGCATGCAGCCACTTCACCCAGGGGTGCCCCCACCCCACCAACTCCCGCCAGGTATGCCAGGCATCCCAGGCATCCCACCGCCCGGTAAGAACTCATCCTCATTCGCTCTGTGTTTCATTGTCATGTACTTGCTGTTTAACTGGTTGTTACAGGAATTGTCTGTGGCTTGTTTTGTTCCTAGCGCAGTTGATTGTGCCTAAACTGTTGCAGGTTTGTTTAACTGCAGCACAGATGAATGCAGGGGGGTGCAAAGTGATTACATTGGCAGAATACACACCCAATAAAGGAACGGGCAAAAGGCCACTGGAGAAATGTGGGGCTGCTCCAGCAGTGGCTTTGCACCAGCCAAAACAAGCCTGAGAATGGCGTGAGTTTATCAAAGGTCTGACAAACGGCAGTCAGCCCCTTCATACCCCTGTGTCATTTGAAGAGTGCTCTGCCACCCTCTCCACATTAAAGCGAAATAATTGCGTTTGCAATGAGATGCATTGCTCTCCTTTCTTACTGAGCTCGTTGGCAGTGTTAGCTGACGCGCATTCCGGCTGCGCTTTGATTCACCCAGCTGCATCAGAGCCCTCGGCCGCTGCGCACCACCATATGTTATAATAGAACAGTGTGCAGATTGTGCCTTGTAGCTGGAACTGGAAACTTTTGGGGGTAAGGTGAACTGGCTATGCTACTGTGACCAAATTCTTATTTTTTGAACATATGTTTATTATGCATTTGCTGTTTTTTTTGCCACCCTGTTGTTGACAGGTAAGGCTGAACAAATGATACCAAACTTTCTGGCGTTAATGCCAATAATGCCATTTGGTGGGGAAAATACACTCGCCTGCCCTCTCATTCTGTTGTCTGTGGGTTCTTCCCAGGTAGTTACCCCTGATAACTCAAGTGGCCTTTAGAGATGTGCATCCCATCCATTCAGCAGTTAAACAAGCTGTGGGCAGAAGCGCTCAGTTTGTCTCCCTACTCCCTTTGCAGCTACTTTGGTCGGAAGCCCTGCTGGGGCCGTATCTGTCTGCAGATCGCTGTGATGGTTGGATGGTGTTTGCTTGCTTCTGTTTGTTTTTCTACCCGTCAGTGTTAGCTTGCATCTTCACCAGCAAGCGAGATTCACCATCAATTCACATAGAGTAGAAGTGCTGTGTGTCTGAGCTTGCCTGCAACTCACCGCAGCGCTGACCTGTAAGCACACAGCTGCAGCTTACAGATGTTTGGAGGCGACTCTGGGACAATGCATTTCTTTGCACAGTGTTTCCAGCTGGGCTGTGCATGAGCAAAGCAGTGCCAGGGATGGAGGAGCACGTGGGATGTGGTCCCATGTGTTAGATGGGGCTGGGTGGGCTCAGGATGAGGCTGTGCTGCTGGGCAGGTGAGGGTGCCCCCTCCAAACCTATTCACTTCGTACCAAAACAAAGATCAGTGCTATATCCCACAGCTTGCATTGTCAGTGTTTTTCCCAATGTCTGACTTAGTACAGATGCATTTAAGATGGGGGGTTGTAGTCAAATGGAAAATTAAGGTGATATGTGCTTTAGCTTGCAAAATGCAGTGACACGTCTTCTGGTCCCTGACACAGAATCTGCCTGCAAATTCAAGCCTTAGGAAGACTCTGGTTATTTTGCAGCTTTTGAAATGAAGGAATTTAAAAAAAAATGGCATGAAGAAAAGCAGCAACATGCATGACTTTTTATGTACATCAAATAGCAGGAACTGCACATTGTGATTTGTATGTGGGAGGCTTCTGCTGCATGCAGTAGGGGAAAGCCTCTTCATAAAAAAAAATGGGGAAAAAGCAAACCTGCCTTTGTGGCTTTGTTTTTCAAATATTTTTCTGTCTCTCATATGAGACTATTTAAGCTGTAAGTGGCATCTTATTTATGTACATATTTACATACAGAATCTATGCAGTGGCTTGGCTTTGCTTCCTGCCACGGTTGTATTTTATACCATTAAAAACCAGGAAATATTCAGTGTTGCTAAAGCAAATCAGCTTTTCCTTTGATGAGGATTTCAGGAGGATTGTGTCCAGCCAAAGGTATAACGAAGGAAATGATGTAGTCAGGCCACACTGGGTAAAGGAGGAAAAAAAAGGAGTTTGCATTTCTGTAGCTAAATGAGATTCAGCAGGGCACACATCGATGCTGGGTCGTTGTTCTGATGCCTTTTTTTTTTTTTCATTGAGAAAATTCCAAAGCGTTTTTTATTGTGGGAGAGTGGGATATTAGAATGTTCCCAAAACTGCTTTAAGCAATGATTTCAGAGTATAAATTTGCACTGCAGATTTGACCAAAGCGGTATTTCTCTCTGCTCTGAAGTAAGACTAATCGTTGTATATTTTGGAATATAGGTGTTATAGGCCAAAACGTGTCCCCCATGGTAGGCACTCCAGCCCCCGGTGCAGGTCCGTTTGGACAGCAGGTGAGTGTGAGTCCTTTTTGCATTATTTATGAGGCTCCCAGGCTCTGGATTAGCATTGCAACAATTAAGACGTGTAAGGAATGCACGCAGCCTTATGCAGAGAGAACAGAAACCACAAATGCACAGGGCTATATTCAGAACCAGTTAATACCTCTCTCTCGGTGCCTGTTTGTATTTCTTGGTTGAATTGTTATTGGACTAATTGGGTTCTGCCCAGTGAGGTAAGTTCTGCAAAATAAGCAAAACAGGCTTCTTTTCCTTTCTGCTGAGCTAATATAAGTCATGTAAACACACAGTTAAGCTGCTGGCAGAGGGGATGCTGTCCGTTTTCTCAGCCATGGCTAAACGGATAAAAACTGCCTCTTTTCTCCCAGATTTCACAAACCAACAGTGCAGATGTTCACTGGCCATTTACATCTGGGAGTTTTGATGCCAGTGATGATCAGATGTTCATTCTTGATGTAGATTAAATGTTCATCACACTGAGTTTAAGGACTGCACTTGCATTTGGTGAGAGGGTGTAAAGGAGAACAGAAGTTGAGTGAGAAGGCAATAGAGCGAGTATGTCATTTCAGTGAGTTCCTTAAACCATGGGTTGGCTCTGCTAAGAGTTCTCAGTACTGCAGGTGAATGGCAGCAGTGGGAATTCCATAGTTCAGGGATTTTTGTGTGACTGCAGTTTTTGCCTGACTGAGATTAGCATTTATTCTCTGGAAGCTTCCAAGGATGAGGATTGCTTTGGATGATATGTTATAGACAGCTCTAAAGCAAGCTAAACTCCGCACTTTGCACATCACAGATTTTCTAGTCAAATTTCAGAAGGCATGAAATAAAAACGATGCAAGGGGAGTAATTAAGGGGAGTGGGAGAGAGGAGAAATGGTGGCAGTGATGAGAAGCTGCCTTCTGTTAAATAAGGTTTGTTCACACATCTCTCTGTACGTGTCAGTGACCTCAACAGGTAAGGCTGCCTGGAGGAGGTTGCCTTCTAGGGAAATCTCTTACACCTTTGGTTATAACCAAAGTTCTGCTGTGTGAGGATGCTGTGAGGCACGGTGTGATCCATCCCTGCAGCTCCCCCAGATGCCATCTCTCCATCGCTTTGCCGTTGCAGATAGGAATCCTCGGTCCTCCAGGACAGCAGGCACCTCCCCCGTATCCCGGCCAGAGCCCCGCCACGCAGCCTGTTATGCAGCAGCCCTCGACTCCCATGTTTGTTTCCCCTCCACCAAAGACACAGAGGCTTCTTCATTCCGAAGCCTATCTGAAATACATCGAGGGGCTCAGTGCTGAATCAAACAGTATTAGCAAGTGGGACCAGACCCTTGCAGGTAAGGTTTTTGGCACAGAACGGGGTGTTTCCGTCTGGAACTCACTTCCTTGTAACTGAATACTCGTGGCTTTCATGGAAAATACCAAATTAATCTGCTGATTATTTCACAATTGCGTGCGTGTGTCAGTTTCATTAAAATCCACAGACAGGGAATATATGCTGTCAGTGGACTAATTCCATCACTGGGTATAAATCTAATTATCCACTGCATGTGCTCGAATAAAAGAAATAGCGAAGAATTATTTCCCTTTTTTTTTTTTCCCCCTTAGAAAAATGCTGGCAAATATGAAGGGCCAAGCCAGCTTAGCAAAGGCAGCGGATAACAAGGCTGTTTGTTCCCCTTTCAGCACGAAGACGAGACGTCCACTTGTCCAAGGAGCAGGAGAGCCGCCTCCCGTCCCACTGGCTGAAGAGCAAAGGGGCTCACACCACCATGGCCGATGCTTTGTGGCGCCTGCGAGACTTGATGCTGCGAGACACCCTGAACATCCGTCAGGCGTACAACATAGAAAATGTGTAGTCGCGTTCTTGCTTCTTTCTTTGATACTGGCATATAGAGTTTTGTGGAACAATAGCTGTTTTAGTTACTGGGTGGGGAGAGATAACCAACGATGATTTGTATTGCATTTTACTGTACATTGCGAGACCATTTTTATATAAGGACACTTTTAATAAGCATATTTCACTTTTTGTTATATTAAGTTGACTTTATCAAATACACAGATTTTTGCATATGCTTCCTTTGTTTGAAAGGCGATTTCATATTTGGTTAACTGTAGTCAAGGATTCATCTTTCTTACACTTTATTGCTGAGAATCTGATGCCATTGTTTTTATATAAAAGAAGAAAAAAAGAAAACAAAGTATTTACAGGTTGGTACAATGGAATGTGAAATTAGTCATAGTTTACATCCTAGAGGAATGTGTGTACATGTGCTTGTGTGTGCTAGGCGCTCCCAGCAGGAAGCTGACTTGGATATGAGCAGGGAGGATCTCTTTGAAAGAAGCTGAAGGTAAGGTGAGCATTGGAGCTAGGGAAAAACCACGTTGCAGGTAAATACTGAGGCAGCTGAATGGGCCACAGTGATCGTGGAAGTGCAGGTGCAGATATGGGACAAGGCTAACCTGACTGCTAATGCTGTCCAGTCCTGTCCAGGCATTAAAGC